GACTGCCCAAGTACTAGCAGGTCGAGTGGTTTGTTGCTTGTCACAGCATGTTTGTGTATGCAGTGGTGGTGGACCTGGCCCGCAAGGAGCTGGAGAAGTATGGGATGACTGGCTGGTGGCCATCCTTTGTCACGGACGCTGGGAGCAACGTCATGCGGGCTATTAGGGGGGAGCTGGCAGCACATGAGGTTGGGAAGCAACCTAGAGGCGGCATGGCAGATTGGTCACACTGTGCCTGCCACATGCTCCACAACGTCGTGACCCATGGCCTGACCAACCTACGCGTCCGCGCCACCCATACCGAAGGCTGCCAAAAGCTTTGCAGTGCAATAGACCGGTAAGCTATGATGCTGGTGTGTCTTTGTGTGTGTGTTGCTATGTGTGCATATATGTTGGTGGTTATTTGTGTGTGCTGCAACTGCTGCAGCTGCTACTTCGGAATTGTTTCATCAGCAGTGTGCATGTGTCCTTACGATGGCAGGGTCTCCACGCTGGTGAACCACATGCGTGCCAGCGCAAAAGCCACAGCTGAGCTGCGAAGGCTGCAAGTGGAAATAATAAGGGAGGGTAATAACATAGTTTCTAGTAATGAGGAGGGGGTGTCTGCATCAGAGGTGCCCTCCGATGAGTCGGGTGAAGGTGGCAGGAGGCCCAACCTGCGGAGGGTACTCCAGCTGGTGAGGTCTGTGGACACTCGATGGAATAGTACATTTTTTATGCTGCAAAGGGCTGTGCGCCTGAGGAAGGCCATCGACAGATGGTTTGGGCTGCACCCCGAATACGATAATCCCATCGAGATTACACAATGGGGCTACCTGGAGGCCCTTCTCCCAATCTTGGCATCTATCAAGAGGTGCTATACGAGGCTGGAGGCGGAGGCATACCCACGGGCTCCAAGGCTCTCGTCAAGCTGATGCACCTCCGGCATTTCCTTTACAAAATTGGTGACCAAGATGCTAAGGGGCCATACAGTGGGTTGGTGCCATTCTGCAATGACATGCTGTGGAAGCTAGAACAGGCCCTCAATGACTCCACGTGGGTCTGGCAGATGGCCTTTTTGGCTATGATGGACCCCACCGGTGAGCGATCGTTGCTAATCACCCCGTGATGGTGTTGTTGGTATTGTGTGCTGTTTCTCACTATGGTGTCGTTCACATATTCAAACACATATAAAAAGGTCAGAAGCAGCGCTGATGAATTGCATAGTGTGTGTGCAATGTACGCCTAGAAGGCTACCCTGGGGTCCTACATAAACGTACTGGAACCCATCAGGGAGAAGCTCGTGTCGGTGAATGCCGTGATGGAGGACATGTCGGCTGAGTTGCTAGAGTTGTGTCTTAAATTCGCAAAGGATATTGGGTGGTCAGAGGCATCGGGGCAAGCAGGCCTGCCACCCCATCCTGGACAGCGACCCGTGCGCAAGCCGAGGGAGAAGCGCACAGGGCATAAGACGTTTGACGCTAGCTCCGAGGAGGATTATGATGCAACATGGCACCGGGGCCCAAGGGCAAGGGGCGCCGCGGGGCCTAGCCAACCTGCGGGCAGTACAGCGGGCGGCGAACTGACAGATACCACACAGCGGTTGATCACGCGACACGTTCAGAAGTTCTTAACGGAACGTTGGAGTTTGTGTGAGCCGGGTACCCCACGAGAGGAGGATGCACTAGATTATTGGGCACGGAATAGTGCTCGATGGCCCATAGTGGCGTGGGTGGCCCGGCACTCATTGTGTGTGCCGGCCGGAAGTGGTTCGTCAAAACGGGGCTTCTCGTTATCCAGCCATACTGTGCGATCTCGGCGGGCATCTCTAGGGGACGAACGCATTGAGCAGCTGACGTTTTTGTCCGGCAACATCAACTTGTAAATTACAAGTTGTAATTCTCCGGGTTCTACTGGCTTGTCTCGACTTGGCCTATGGCTCAGTGTGTGACTTGTTTTAATTTGGCTATATGCCTAGCTTGTACATTGGGCAATGTGCATGTTGCCTTTGCTGCAAGTCAGGTGTCCCTGTGAAGATGTGTCTCCTGGCCCTGAATCCGGCCTTATGAATGCCTCCGCAACTTGCACTGGTCCGCCAGTGCCCTCCCAATTCGTAAAACCTCCAATTCGCATGGTCCGTTTCTGGGGAACGGACAGGAACGGACCTGAACAGACAAGGACGGAGCCATTCCATGGCCGGTCCAGAGTTTGTTCCTGAGCCGGGACGGATCCGGCCCTGGGCAAGAACGGACCCGTTCCAACTCCGTTCCGGCCCGTCCCAGATCCGGCCCAAATCCGTTCCTGGGGAACGGCCCAGGGACGGACTAGAACGGACTGGGAGGACTGGGACGGGAACGGGGACGGGTCCGTTCCTGGGACGGGGACGGACACCGTTCCCGTTCCCGTTCCTATGCCATTTGGCCGGGCCCACCTCTGGTTTCTCCCTTTGTCCATTTTATCTACTCCCGGTTTAGTCGCCCGTAGTAAGCCCTATTGTATAGCGTTTCTAAGGAGTTTTTAATATACAATATCCCGCGCCTATAATATACAACGCCCCGTGACCTTTATATACAATGTTTCAGGTCCAGCCCTCACAGGCACATAGCCAGCGGTTCCGACCATGTCACCAATTCTATATTGTTAGAGTATTCCATTGGGATAGGACACTCATGAGTGTTGGATACATGGGGTAGTATGAGGGCATGTAATATGATTTCAACTCAAACTTGATCAAGAGGAATATGACAGGAACAACTGGTCGATTCCATAAGACATAAGGTTATTTTCTTTTGAGTTAAACTACCTGTCTTTAGTGCTAGGAGGATTGTACAGATAGATGCAGTGAGGGGATAACATCATGTTATTAACATGATGTCCACATACCAGGTTATCAGTAGAAACCTGACCTGTGTTAACATTCGATTTTATCTCTCGTGGTAGATAGTTGCAGGCCCCAGGTGCAACTGGGGGCATTTGACTGATACACCCAATTCTCTCATTGGAGAATATGAATATTCGGCTAGCAGTAAGCCATATAGACATTGCTGAGGACGGTCGATGCACCCCAGGGGAAAGTAGCTGGACATTGCTGGATGTAGCAAGGACCCAAATGACAAGAGACAACTTCCAATCTCAATATCCTCATCTTAAGGTACAGACACACAAGGTCAAAATCAGTGGATAGTTATAGAGGATAGCAGCCTTGTTCACTTGCATGGTGGTTGCATGGTGGACAGGTAGAGCTAGCACCAATGATCTATATTTAGTGTGTACTGTGGGTTGATGATTACTCGAGTGTATGATGGAATTAGAGGGTATTGGTCATATACACATTCTTGGACATATAGGTGATCGACGGTCGCTATGTATTTGTAAGAGCAAGTACCTATCCCCCGGTTGTTAAAAATGGGGGCGCCCTACGCATTGATCACATTTCCTCCAGGCCTATAATAGGAGGTCGACCGAGAGCGCCCAAAGTACATTTTGCTGTACTGACGACTGTGTTGGAATCGAGGAATGATAATCCATATAAATCAGTGGTACTCTATGACATAGTTGGTTATTGAGGTCGAGGCCACTTGATCACACTCGAGGAGTCCTTTCTTAATTGCAGTCAGCAATTGAGATTGTACCTATGCCAAAATTGAGGCACATTGAGTTGGATTAGAGCAGATTGCTTTGATGACGGTCGGACATTTTGGTTGTGTGGTTGATATTGAGATTGATGCTTGTGACATGAGAAGGCTCATATCTACTCCCATGTTAACAAGCATGGCCACATTTGGCTTGGGCCAGACCAGAAGACAATCGGACAATGGCGCCAAATGTCTGATTGAGAAATTTTATTGAGGATATTGGATAGTTTTATAACATCCTATGGTGAGACTATCCCGGCTTAGGGCACAAACGGGAAGGAAATGGACAAAATTTGTTAATTTTTATTGGGCTTTGGTCTAGAAACTTGTTGTAAAACAGGGCACAGGTGACTCATCAACCCACAGGATAGTCACAAATGGAGACCTTTCGACAATAATTGGTAATTTTAAATTTTTGTGCGAGCCGTTTCCAGCCGCAGAAGACAGTGCCCAGAACAGAAGAGAATAGTTGGGAGCCACGACAGAATGAACATTGCAAGCCCAATTTTCGTGCTGAAAAAACAATGAAACACTGACCCAAGATACAAGGCATGGTAGAATGAGGGACACAAGAAGCATCTGCCCGCTCCGACAAATTTTTGTTACAAATAGCATGTCCTAGAAGGAGTGAATGGGCGAGGAAATTAGGGCGAAAATTGCACTCAGATTAGCATGCTGCAAGCTGCCAAAAAAATGGCCCTCAGCAGCAGCAAGGCCAATGGCCTGTGTTGTGAAAGGGCCACAAACAAATGCTTGTTGCATGCTGCCACGCCTGCCATCGCAAGCACGGAACGAGGGCTTGGATTTCAACGTTTGCTATCACCAGAATGTAATCCAAGAATTCATAAGCAGTACTGTCAATGCAATAACTCAAAACGATGGGCCCGAAAGGCCGCAGAAAGTGAAGTGCGTTCCAACCCCACTATGTAGTCCGCATTAAATGCATCAACAAGGGGGGGTAATTGTGCCTGACTAATGGCACTCGCTGACAAGCATCCGAAAGCAATGACTTAGTTAGTAGCACGTACTAGCAAGACCAGCACACACATCCATCTACTCTGATTGACATTCCCTGACTAATGTTCAAATCAAACTCGTGGAGCTTCACCCTCGTCATCAATTGACATCTTATCGACCGACAATTGACATCATCCTTGATTGGTACATTCATCGCCACAGCATGCGAATCTTGCAGGAAATGATTGCTGAGCGGCCAGACCCCAATGATACATCCACATATTAGGACACCCATGCAAGGTACAGGTGACCGGTCGCTCAATTACTGCTTTGGTGCAATTCACACATCCAGGAGTCAGTTCTCCAAACAGTTGCAGAGCTTCTCAGATGAAGCAGCAATTGTGTGGCACCAGTGGCACAACGTCGGTGCTATAGCCCAACTGGTGGTGGTCGCTCCATCACGAGCGTCTCGATCTCCTCTGCATCGCTGTCTTCGATGTCGAGCATCTCCCTCAGCTGCAGCAGATGTGCAAAGTCGGGGGGCACATCGGTGTTCCGAATGTAGAGACGGTACAGATTCTCGAACTGCAGTACAGTGGTCCCACATGGGAGATCGTTAAACATGCCAATGCCCATTGGATTCCCATCATCATGATGAGTAGCATCACGGAAACAAAAATTCAAGTATCTGTCCCATTTAGGGTACTGGGCATAAAGCCAGTCTATTCCAGCTTCTGCAAGAAAGTGCATGTCTGGTTTGGCATTGCCCATCACCTTCCATGTTGTGCAGCTGGGATGAAAGCTCTGTGTTTTATGAGCTACTGAGAGTATTGTACAATACTATTACAAATGCACTTACAATACTATTACATTGTGATACTATTGTACAATACAGAAGTGTTGAACATTTTACAGTATTCTGTGTTGTAGGATGTGTGCGGCAGCCTACCGTCTGATTTCAGTAGTATTTCTGATGTGCACACGGTTCTGTAACTTCCTGATATCTCTATGGCACATTTGATTGCCACTGACACACCATTCCTTCCCATTGATAGCGTTTAAAAATTTTCTTCAATGCAGTCCATATTCTTGCTGTTCTAAACCCATCCAGCCTTTGTTTCCAGCCCATGACCTCAGCAAGCATGAAACTCAATGAACATGGGTGACGCTGGTGGAGCAAAATGCCAAAGAATGGAACTCTTCAAACATGATGCTTACATTTGTGACTGCTGACGTGCTGAATGTACTCAAGTAACTGTGTTTCTAAGCATAGCCAAGGTACTTTCAGGCAATCAGCAGTAGAGTCAGGTATTTGCCACAGATTCAGGTATTGGGCGGCCCATCACCTCATATTTGGAGTAACGTGAGTTCAACAGGGGCGAGCGACATATAGCATTTGCCTTCAGCGCACGGTCTAGCTCCACCATGGCCCTGTGCAACAGATCCCAATGTTATCGAACAGTGTGTCCTCCACAGTCGTGACATTCGAGAACTCAAGAGGTCCGTGGTCAAAGGTCAATGGTCCACCATGATGCCAGCAGCAGCGATAACATACAGCATTATCGTTGTGCACTGGCTGTGGGTGGTGCACGTTGATGCTGCCCATCTGGGTGCGTCAAAGATGCAATGGCATACACGGTCATTTGCTGAACAGTCAGTGCCTTGTAGCAAAATGTGCATTGGTGGGTTGGGGTTTGGGGAGGGATTGGGGTGCAGCAATACGGTGATAGTTACAAGATGCATGCACTCAATGTTTGAGATATGCCATATTCCATTGTTTGCAATGCATCAGGTGTCCAAGTGCTGTGATGTTGCTTGCTGGCCAGATGCCCCACTGCCCTGAACAATTGTATCCTCCGTTTGCTGGCAGGTTCGATGTGCTGGCCTTCCACTTCCATCACTATTTCACATACAGACTGGCTCAATGCACTTAAAGTGCTCACTGTAGCTGATGACTCACTGCGGTGACTGCTTGCCAGATGACAAACAGCTATGGATGTCTCAATGCACTGAAAGCTGTCTCGATGAGCGCAAGCACTAGATGCATTCATGGTCACTCAGGAGATTGACATACTGGGCTGTCGAGGGTCGTTTTGGCTCATGACAGTAACAGAATGTGATCTTATCACAGAAGGATATCAATTGTTCAGAACAATATCAATCATATGAACTCAGCCCCTTCAGTCTGTTTTCTGACTTTGATAGAATGCCAAAAAGCATATTCCCTTCCTGTTAAGGCGACTGACACGTGGATGGCTCAAGCAATGAACATGCTCCATGTTGTTGATGACTCGATGCAAAGTATATGCTTGATCAACGCCTATGAACTTGAATTTGTAGTGAGGCACAGAAATACGATCAACTTAGAAGCATCGCAAACGCCTTGGATGTGTGAATGTGCACGAACGGCGTCAGGATGAGAGGGCTCTTGGTGCCAGAAAAGGTAAATTGCGTACTTGAAGTAATAATGAGAACATAGTGTACCATCATAATAAACGATAAACAATATACAACAAACCATAACAACACATCAACACACTATTCTGAAAGGAATATTAGAGTTGAACAATAATCACTCCAATTAAAAGAGCTTCGTTGGATTCTGTACCTCGCTGGTGAGCCTATGTTCATGAAGCCAACCGCCTTCTCAACGAATATTGCCTGACGGGCACGTGCCAGCGCCATCTCATAGGCCTTGGAATTCTCAGCCTCAGTCTGTAACAAAATCGCTCATGTAATTTACTAATTCCCGTCACATTGAGCAAGCGCCAGTATTGCTATTGTGACTTACATTTGAGCACTGGTTGCATAGCAAAGGAGTAGACATGAAAGGCACTGGGACTCTCCTCAGAACCATTCTGACATGAAAACAGCTACGACTGTGCTCAGAAACATGCTCTGTGGATAACAGAGATAATACCAAAACTATGTGCCATTACCAAGGAGGACAATCGCATTGGACAAGTACACAAAGTAATGGACCTGAGAAGAAAAGTCGGCAATTCTGCTGCTGTTTCATTTGAACGGTGCCCATCCCATTGCAAACAAGTCAAGAGCAGTTTCGTTGCAGATCGCCACTGCAAAGGCCTGCAGTCAATGGCAAACTGACTTGAAACTCAACACAACTGGTGAAATGTGTGGTCACATACGTCCTGATGGAGTTCACAACATCACGATCAGGCCAGAAGAGCTGGCAGCAACAGGACACTGGCCTCAGCGCCTCACTTTCGTCTGCCTCTCAACAATGAGCATCACAACCAACCTCAGATGCTCATGGATATGGGACTAGCCCAGCTCCAACACACAACACAGCGCTGCGATAACTGCAGCTGTTTGCTTGCATCTCTTTATTAACAAAGCACAGTATAAGCAGTATATTTGCCAGAAACGATGTTCGATCAACCAGATGTGCCGCCATATCCACCTGCTCGCTGTCTGCTAGCATGTGGCAGTGAAAGCTGTGGACAGTTTTGGCTGGGGACCAGGACACACCAGTTGACGTGCCACATCGGCCTTAGTCGTGATCCTGTCTTGGAAGAACCTCCACAGCCCTAAAATTACACCGATGATAGATCCAATCAAGCAGATCCATTTTGCAACTGGACCGTACCTGCACATGCATCAAATTTGCCAGTAAAACAGAGCTATACATGCACTAGCACATCTTACTCTGGCATTTAGGTAGCTTAGATCCTGAACACTGGCAACACATTTAGTCTCAAGGCACTGCTGTGGTTTGCAGCCCTACAATGAGGACGATGCTGCATTACAGATTCCCAACTCTATAACGGCAAAGATTTGCTTGTGAGGGCACTCCAAATCACTCAGTGCCTCTTAAATGGAAAAATTATCAACATTAGTATTTCCAAAAATACATACTGCCCATGCCATTTTTGGCTGCAAAAGGCAGTGAGCACTTACCACCAAGGTCAATCACTCAAACAGATTGGCTGTGAAAGCCCCAACGTCGAACACGAAATCCACAGGCCACCCCAACATATCCGTCCCACATGACTAACACTACACTTTGCAACAAACTTCGCGATGGCAGGCATCAACCGCTGGTCAGATCGTTTCAACAAGGTTGCACTTACCTTCCCTACGTTCTGTGCATGGAACAACATCAACTAGTCATGTTGTGCACAGTTCTGAAGTAAACAACAACAGCAACAGAATAGATAACGACAGACAACAACAGCACAGCACATTGCTTACTTGGCAATGGACGCGTTTGGAGATCAGATTTCAGGTTGCGTGTGAGACAGAGTGCATATTCTAGTGGTGATTCTCCCGGCAATCCGATGAACATCAGCTTTCTGGTCCATCTCTGCTCACTGAATGCATCAGTCGTTGCCCACTTGGCCCGGAGGGGGGTTAATACGTACCAACGGACAGCTGACGCGGTTGCTAGACGCCTGACCACACACTGCAAAAGGCCGAAAGACCCCAATGATATCTGAGAAACGTCTGGCAATGGTCAATGAATGCGGCATTGCAAGTTCCTCACTCGTATTGGGGCCTTGCAGGCCTTGCAGGCGGATCTGCTGCGACGGCTGCCGTCGTCTCTCTAGCCGCCGCCTTGACTGGAGGGTGCCGCCGCTCGCCCTTGGGGCGGCCTGATCTCAATGGCCCATGCCATCGCCCACTGCCAGAGCACAGGCTGGGATCCGCACGGCGCTGACGCTCCAACGACCCACGCAGCGGCGGCAGAACTGAAACGGCAAGCCCCACCATCACTCAACCATTATCGTCCAATTCTCGCCAGAGACTGGACAGCAGCGGGTCATGGAACGGGTCACGAAATGGGGCATAACATGGGCCTCCTTCCTAGGCAGAAATGTTTCCCGAAACTCTCTACATGTCGCGAAAAGTGGTGCAGACGTCTCTGAGGGCAGGAGGAAAGCGCACGACGGGGTGGGCGCCGCCGGCCAACGCGTTTGCTTTCCTGTACAGTCCATTGGCAGCGACACTGGACGGGCAGGCCTCCAAATGCACCACGGGCATAACACAACAGCGCAAAACAATTGAACATGCGACCGTTCTCAGCACTCGCAGCACAGAAATTGAAACACGAGCGGGCAATGGGCACGGGGTAGTGACCGCCCAGACAGATCATCGCAGCAGTTGCGGACGGTTCCACGCCGGAATGCCACACAGGGCTCTCCAAGAAGCAACGGACAAGCCACCGTGCCATGGGATGCGCCGATCGTAAGAACGAACGTGCGGATCGCAGAAATTCGCCCAGCTCACCTTCTTTAATTGGTACGAAGCGCAGGACCGTGACTTGGGATTGGGCGGGATTCATGCCGGCGATGGCGTTAACCGCTTGGCGTTGCCGGATGGGGTCGCAGATAGGGCTGACCGACGTCGCCGCCGCTAGCAGAGCGTCCTTGAAGCGGTGTCAGCGTGCCCAAAGGCGTCGGTGTGCGCTGGCCTCTCTGGACACAAAGCAGCCGCCTTGTTTTGGGCAATGGAGACGAGCGTTTTCCCACTGGGCTTGGTGAAGACGAAGTGTCCTTTTTTTCGGGTTTGGCGGCCATCTGGAGCTCAGACCAATCCCACTCGTTAGTCAGCAGCGTCAAAAACCTTTTGTCGATGCAGGGGTGACTCAACAACATTACATAATAGTGGGATATGACTTCCAGATGTCGTCCAGGGCGAGCCTGAAGAACAATGGATTGTTGTGGGACTGTTAGAGCATCTTTATCGGTCGGCGCTATTGTTCCGGCGGAGCTATTCGGCTATCTGAATAGCTCCGCACGTCAAAAAACCATCATTAACGGTTGGGGAGCAATAACTCCCCAATAGCTCCCCCGGAGCTATTCGGCGCCCAGCGAAGCTATTCGGGGCCAGAATAGCTCCGCTCGAGACCGAATAGCTCCCCAGAATAGCACTGGTGCTATTCGCGCAGCACTTGGCGGCGGCTGCTTGGAACAACGCGGAGGGGCCTTAGTACAGCGGAGGGGCCTTGGGACAGCCGAACCATGCAAATAGCACCCCCCGTTACGGATGCCCACGGCGTGCTATTGCTCCCCAAGGCATCCACCGTTACGGATGCACGCCCGGTGCTATTGCTCCCCAATAGCACCGGCGCTATTTGGCACATGCCACCTTAGTAAGGTGGCACGGCAGCCAATGAGAACCGTTCCTGAATAGCTCCGCCGGAACAATAGCACCCACCGATAAAGATGCTCTTATTGATAATCACTTCTTGGCATTTGGGGTTAATAGATTCACATAGTTTGTTTGTGTTCACATTAGATTTCAATGAACTGATTAGACATTGCTTTGCCCCGGGCAAAATAGGAAGCTAACGGCTACCTCGTTGCCTTGTTCTGTAAAAATGATGGTGATGATGATGGTGTCGATGTTTGTTGTGGATTGAAATGGGATGCCAGCACCCATGGTAGGCGAAGGCAACATCCCTGGTTCCATTAAGGCGTGTTTGGGGTTCCTTGGAAGATTGAACGTGTAAGGGAGATTCTGGAGCAAACCATGAGTTGCGCCGCTAATTGGTGGCGGTCTGGGCATATACCCAGCTTATGTCGATTTTGCGACAAACACATATTCTGGCCCCACCCTCCCCCCCCCCCCCCCCGTCCTTTCTGGCACCTTCTTGATCCAAAGGATGTGGTGTAGAGCAAAGCAGGCCTGACACAGAAAAGCCAAACCCTGTGTCGAGTGAATGGTATGGCTTTTCTGTACAGTTGCCTGGCCTTGCTTCCTCCAACGAAGTGTTGGTGCGAGCTTGTCATGCAACAAGAATCAAGTGCAGGGACTGCAGGCACTCAGCTGTCTGCAACCACTCATGGAGGCATCCGTTCATTAGTGTTGTTGTGCAATTCCGTGCTCGTCAGATGTTCAAACACCAAAATTCCTTTGGCGCAGTCGCAGCGACCAACCGTTGGGGCAAGCTCTGACTACGTCAGCAATTGAAAAGTTCAAACACATTCATCAGCGCCGGTATTTGCACATCACCATGGTGTGCCGGGAAATATGGCAAGCACTCATGAAGTGCCATATCCCTATATTTGCAAAGCTCTTGGCGCATCAACTAGTTGATGCCACAGTTTGCACTGTCATTCAAGGTTGGTCTTCAGAATGTGCGGAAATCACAATTGTACATTTAAGCGTTGCATTTAAGGAGTTCAGGCACATTCATTGGTGGCGGGCGCAAGGCAAGCAGGGTGCCTTCTGAAAGAATAAGGGTTGGCAAACAGAATGGGAAACCATGCAGACTTCGACACTGACTCGTGTGCCAAAATTCCACCCTATGATCTTATTGATCCGATGCAAGGTACAAAACTGCCTGTGCTGAACCTCATAAGTAGGCACCTGGGCGGTGGGCACCTGGGCGGTGGGCACCTGGGCGGTGGGCACCTGGGCGGTGGGCACCTGGGCGGTGGGGCAGCTGGGCTTTGGAACTGCAGGTAGCACCGACTGCCCTCTTCCCAGTGCACAACTCCCTGAAGCCTGCCGATTTTATGTGCACCGGGCTCCAAAACACTGGTGCGAGTGCCACAGTCTCTCTCCAGCTCGAAGTGGCCCCCTGCGCCCTGATGGGAACCAAAGTCCGCAGGCACGACATCAAAGGTGCCTGTCGCTTTGACCTGAAGTTCCGACTTCCCCAAAAGGAGATTTTTCGGGTCAACACTTGAGGTCAAAGCAGCTCCTAGTCTCCTCGAGCATGCGCCGTTGCCGGCCATGCCCTCTCGTCCTCTTCTTCCAGCCACGCTTCCTCACATTCTCCTTCGGAAACAATCCCGTCGATGGCAAACCCCGCGAGAAAAAATCCCTTCGAGAGGCCCGAGGCCTTGACGCTATCCCCAAACTGCCGCGCCCGTAGTCGGCGTCCTTATCTGTCAATACCGTGCTAATCCGACTCCACTGTTGCAACGTGGCCCAAACCGCACGCTGTGGGCACCGAACGCCACTGGCAATATGCGAACCCCGATGACCTTCGCATCCGACAATCTCAAATCGCATTTTGCGCACTTTCCTAAATCGCTCCGGGCTGCTCAATTCCGGCGCATCTCTGATCACGGCGGTAGGCGCATATGCACCGCGCCGCAGCTCGCTCTTTTTCGCGCCAAACTCGCGCCCTCGACTCGCGCCACCGTCAAAAAGCTCGACATTGCAAGTGGAGTCAGCCTGCTCAATCCCGGGTCGTAGACAGCATCGACGGCAGCAATCCGCGCGCTCAGGGACACAGGCCGCGTCGCGAGCACCGGCTCCCCACCTTCAGAAGGCAACCACGGTCCCTTCACAGGAAGCGACGCAGCCCACTTTTAGTCAGCGCAGTGCCGGACCTTTCAAGGACAGCCTGGCATCGGTCCCGCTTGGACTGCCTACCGATTCGGCTCGCGGCCGATCTCGCGGAAAAAAGGGCCTGTGGCCCAAGCGCCCCGCACCCAGGGAGGCCAGTGTTCCCACCCAGGAGTGTCGACCTACCCACCCCCCCAGGCGCACGCTCTCAGTCCCCCCTCACCGCCCAGGCCCACCCAATCCCCAACCGGGGCAGGCGGCTTCCCAATCAAGGCCGCAGCTACCAGATTCCGCTCACGGGGACCTAGATTCGAATCTGGGGGCGTCGCGGGGATGCACGCCACGCATCAGTCCGGGATGATGGGGCCAGGGGTGTCGCGCTGGCCGGGCGCGCCGGCGATGGCGCTCGGGGGGGCGGGATTGCGGAGGCGAGCGGTGCTGCCGGCGGGGAAGGCGAAGGGCCGGGGCGGGATGGCGGGCCGGAGGGCGGCCGTGCTGCCCCTGGCGACGGGGCGCCAGGTCCAGCGGGTGCGTGGCTGCCGCGTTCTCGGCCCTCGAGCGCGTGATGCGGGCATCTTTTTGTGCGATGGTTGGGGAACATGCGGGGTTTTGGTAGCGATGATTGGCAATGAGTTGTTGTACTTGGGTTGCCGAAACGGGTGCCTGCGCATGGGATATGCAGTCGCGCCAGTCTTCACGCTTGGCCGTGGTCTCAGGTGTTGGATCGCGTAGAACACCTTGGGCTAGTTGAGTTTTGAAACGTGGGCGTCGGATGGCATTGTCGGAGGTGTATTTGGCGCATCCTGGCTCATCGATGTGTCGGGTCGACTGCCTGCACGGCAGATTTCTTCGTGGGTTGGATTCGTCTTCTGAAGGAAACACAGCGGGCGAAATTAGCACCCGGTAGACGTTAATGGACGCTGGTAAGTTCAAGATGCGTGCTTGTTTTGTTGTTCCCTTGACGCTCGTGCATTGTCTCCGCACCTTGTTGTGCAAGGTACGAAGTGAAAGATGGTCGAAAGTAGTTCAAAAAGGAAAAAAGGCATTTGTTTTGTCTAGTGGGGAAAATGGATGGAATCAGTCATTTTGGGCGTTCCAGGATCAAGGGACCGTTATGTCGTGTGCTGATTCCAATGGGCTCTAAGGCTCTGGGGTCTTGCTGGGACTGGGTGAAAACCCTGGAGTGGATTCTAGGACTGGGTCAAGACGTGAAAGCTACCCGCATTTGTTGGACAGGTGGAGGAGCTGAAGCCCGCTTCAGAAGGGGGTCTGGTCAGGAGGATGGTGGCGGCATCTTGGAAAGTGAGTGGCCGTTCGGAAGCCACTCAGCTGCTCTGTTGTCATACGCATTTCGCTGGCTGGTTGTCATTCTTTGGCTGCATTTCTCAGAAAATGAAGAATGAAGCCTGGTCAAGCACTGGTCAAACACCGTTGACCTCACATGTACTTTTGCCCCCTGCCTCTTTCAGCGAAACTGAGACAGAAAATCTGTGCTGGAAGGTTTCATCAGCCGGCCCAAGTCGACTTGCCCCTTCCATTCTGTTGTCAAACAGGATAATTTCCAAGCTCTGTCAGAGCAACACAGGAGGCTGGCCATCCACAACAGCTCTGTTGCGCCACAGTGTATTTTGGCTGGGCTCTGACAGGCATGCCTAGTTCAGGCCATTTTAAATTGTATGTGCAATATTTAAGATTGCTAAACTATGGTAAATTGTTTGGGCACTGGCTCATAGCAGCCCGTGCTTGTGAGCTCAGGGATGAAATGGCACCTGTGTCCTCTTGCAGTGCTGTACATCAACCTTGTTCCAACAGAGCGTCTCCATCGTGCAGCACACTGCCAGTGTGGAAGAGTTATAAGAATCGGATATAAGAAGCAGAAGCCAAATTCTATCTTCTTTGTTGCTTGGTGTCTCAAGTCTGCTTCAAGATCTGTGTCTTTGGGTATTTTTGGTCTGAAACATTGCATTTGGTATGTATTGTGCTGTTGAATGCTGAGTGGACTGGCACTTGGAGGAACCGAGTCGAATGGGTTCATTATCACAACGGGAAAATGGGAAATGTGCTGTTTGGCAGTTCACAAGCTGAGAGGCCCCCAGGGCTGTTCAACGTCTATAATTGTATGTTTCAATACTTTTCATATTGAGATGTGTGGTTTTGGGGGTCTTAACACCCTCTAGAATAAGCTTGCAACATTGTAGAACCACCTTATGTCTGCCACCATTGTGAGCAGTGTGACACCCAGTATCATGCAGCCGGTGCCAAATTTGGACAACAAATGCGCAGTGCTCAATCGACTTACATGGTGTTGTTGCTGTGTAGGTGTTGCTCCTGGCACCTGTGGCTTTGGTCGCAGTCACAGGAAATGGCCGCGCAGTTGCGGCACCTGCACCTGCTGCACTGGTAAGGCTGGACTCATGGGTCAGCAAAGAGGCAAGCGACCAGGACATAAGGCTTCTGTATTTATATCTAAAAAGAAAAAGAAGAAACATGTACATTGTATGGATTGTTGGCTCCCAATGCGGTCACTTTTCAGGTTGGGCACTGCAAATTTTCAACTTGCTGGAGGAAATGCATAGGATTGTGTGTGGCAGGATGGCAACACAAATTAATGCACAGCATTGTGGGCTCAGTCTTCAGTCCCAGACAATGTGGGCTGCAAAGGGAAACTGCCCTGCTGCCAAGTAGAGCACAAGGATTTTCACATGGCATCTACCATCAACTTGCCTTTGCAATGGCCCTGCATAGCCTCTGGAACACATGGAATGATGCCTACTCATGCCTAAAGAATTTCATGAAGATGAGTCATGTGACATGCTTCTTTGGAGTTCAGGGTTGCGCTTAGAAAATGGGCATAGCCCTGTTTGTGTTCACATGATGAACTGCTGGCACCTCACATATGTGAGATTGCAGTGTCGTTCACAGGATTGCATCCCACAGTTTTTTGCCATAACGGACTGCATACAAGCGTTGCGATATGATCAGAATAGCAGTCAGCAGTGTCTCACATTTCACACATTTTGAGTTGTGGTGCACACTACACTGTGGTGCTTCCAGGTCCTCTAGCTCAGCAAGACTGTTTTGTGCAACATCATGTTGCCATCAGCTGTGATGCAAGGACTGCTAGATTTCCTGTGTTGCATTACCTTCACCAAGCAAAGTGGAAGCCTTGCATCTTGGGGACGCTGATGTGTATATGCACATCAGATGCCAAGCACCACTTCTGCTGACTTGTGACCCTTGGCCACCATGTCCTATCTTGCAGCTTTGGGCATTTTGCCATCGAATTTGACGATTTGTCCCATTTATTGGTGCAGTCAGCTCCTCAAGCCGTGACAGCCACCATTGCTGCCACTACCTCGAGGGCTGCTAAGGCTGCTGCAGTTTCGATGAACAGTGCTGCCACAAGTCAAGTGGTGAGTATCCAAGCTTTGGCATACGGCACTTGCTTGTTTTGCATGCGTGTTTACATTTGTTGTTGTTCATTGTTGCATGCAGAAGCACATCCACACTAGAGAATGGCGTTTCACCATGTCCTTGCTTTCCATCCCATTTGTGAAGCATGTGAAAGCGAACTTGCCCTTTCACAGATACAGAATGTTCTACACGTTTTCGATGTGTGTGGGAGTACTTTTCATTGGAATTCAGGGACAGAATTGTAGACAAGGACTTGCTCTGATGTGCGGTGCCAAGTGCAATAATGGGTTCCTACTAGGTCGCTGTGCAATGCAGTAGGGACTAAAAGGTGCGATTATCCACAAATGGAGTTCAGAGAGGACTGACCTATTTTGAAAATGCCTCACAACTGCACTGCTAAACGCATGCTGATAGCAGTTTATTAGTATGGCAATGGGATGGATGGTTGATGCAGTGCTGATTGCCTGCTGCCTGTGATCGGCTGGGGATCCACTGCAGTTGCGACTGAATTACCATAACCTGTGACACCTGCCATTCTAATTGATCTTGGTCTCCCTGCTCAGATTGGCATGTTGCCCTGCAAGCCACCAACATGTTAGTGCTGATTCAGTTGTCGCTGATACGTGCATGGCAATATAGCCAGCAGATGTGCCAAATTTGATATCCATTGTGTTTCTATGTTACTAATTGATGTCAAAACCTATCTGCAGATACCCAGTTTTAATGTACTTGATGCACAGCCAGTATCCTAAGTTTTACGTGATTGGCACATCCCTCCAGGTTCAGGCAACTGCACTTGTGTGCACTATTGCTGCAGCTGGTGGTGCTGCCTCACGGTCTGCAGCACAGAGGAGGCGTGCTCAGGTGAGTTTCGATGTCAAGGTTTTAACAATCTATGCAGAGGGTCTTTCCTTTGGCTGCAAACGCGGGGGCAAATACTGCTCTGAGGTGCTTGTGTTTGCTATATTCGTTGTATAGTGTTTGCTATATTCATAATATTGCCAGCTGTGCGACTGTTGGAGCAATTGCTTGAGATCTTGCATGAATGTTCACTTGGTGGACTTTGTGCACAACGGCTGCCCATCATGGCCAACTTCCATTTTTGGCAGTATGAACATTTGGGTCCTGTTGCTGTGATGTCCCCCTGCTTTGTCAAGGCATCCTACCATTGTGGTCATCTGCTTTGATTTCATTTATACTTGCATAGCAAGACAGTGCCTTCGCACATGTTGGTCGATGCGGACATGGCAACATATGCTGCCTCAATCTTGATGCTGTTGTACTCACCAACACATACAGGTGGCCACTTTTGCTACTTCGTATGAGTCACCTGTGGTGGACGATGTTGAGAAAGCTGCTGAGCCTGGGGTTGCAGCCCTTGGGCTGGCGGCGGCAGTGGTGAACAGCCTGTCCTCGGCGAGGAGCAATGGTGCCCGTGGCAATGGCACAGCAGGCGCCAAGAATGAGGGCTACAAATGTAAGGGGTTGAGACAGCAGCGTGTATAGGCAGCGCTTGCGCTTGTGCAGGGCAATGTGTTCTGGCAATTGCAGCAGTGCGAATGTTGAGGAGGAAAGGCATGCCTTCTGTTTGCCAGACGCTGTTCCTGCAAGAAACACAACAACTCACAACACCCAACAACTTGCATCATGGCCATCTTCATTGTGTTTGCCTGTCGGAATTTGTCCCAGCGAGTTGATCCCCAAGTCGCTGCTGCCATCTGGATGGTGTGACGCTCTCTTGTCACCTTTGATATGCCCATCTCTCCGGATCGGAGAACTGCCTTTGCGATATTTCAAAATGATGCTGTCAGGAGAGTGTGTGTTCCTCACAGCAAGCTCTCTTCCATTGGAAACGAGCACACATTCCATAACATGTGCCCATCATCGGCTGAAAGGTGGAAGGCCAGTGCCTCATTGCTATTTTGCAGCTGTGTATCCAGAGGATGGACACCTAACTGAGGACTTACTGCTGTTGTTCTGCAGCCATGTCGATGAACGGGAGGAAGGCCAACAAATTCCTTGACGGTGTTGATGCCTCCAAATACGACGTCGTGCACGAGGTGCTCACCAAGGCCAAGGCAGCCTCAGTGGACAGCAAATATGACCCAATTCAGTGGCTCTTTGATGCTGTTGGCTCGTGGCAATCCAAGGACACGGTGGTTCGCACATTCTTGAAGAACACTGACAGCCTGGACGAGGACAACTTCCTCAAGCTGAGAACACTCCTGAAGGACCTAAGGGCAGCAGGTTTGTTTGTTGGTTTGTCGATCTTTCCTTCAGGATTCCGTGTTTGTTCTATTGGTTCTGCTGTTGCCTTCGGCTTTACTCGACTGTAGGCTTGCCTGTGCCCATTTTGGGTAGTCATTGTTGCATTGACTTGTTCTGCTCCCTTCATTGGTCGATACCTGCAAGGGAAATGCGTTGCTGTATTTGCACCTTAACGACAGTAATTCAGCAATAGAAAACAACAGTGTTGGGCCATTGTCAGCTTCATTTCAAGTCGTGTATTTGCAATGTCCAGATGATTTGGTCTATCAGGGCAAATCGTAACTTCGTGGGCAGCATTTCAATCATGCGAAAGTCATTTGAGTGGCATCAACTGAGCAGCACCACAGTCAGTACCTGTGCAATACGTACATCTCTCTGTTTGAATGCATACATCGTCAGCGCGCTGCTCAGTGTATGCACATCTGCTGAACGGATTGATCAGATTTGTCCATTCTCTCCCCAGCTGTAAACGAGAATTTGGATCAAGCCAACAAATCCCCACTTGGGTTTTCCTGGTACAACAGTCAACCACTGTCTACCTGCAACTATCAGGCTGCCATCCTTTTCTTCTGGAACCTTTGCAGCACGTTCAATTTTTCATTCAAACAAGAAATGATACTTGCAACATTGGGATTCCGGCCATATCTTTTGACCACATCCTTGTGTCGGCCCACAGGTGAGACAAGCGACTCGAAATACGACCCACTCTACAATCTGCTCAAAGGCGACTGGAGCCTGAGCTTTGGAGCCCTGGAGATCTTCGAAGCCTTTGACCCTGTGGCTGCGTTCTCCCGGGTTTGCCGTGCCCCTGTCGTGTTCGTTGCATCCAAATACGACTTTATGGTGTCTCTTCTCAAGGGGGAGTGGCAGGAAGAGATCTCAACTCTGGACAACCTCCCCAGCTGGGACCCCATGGCAGCCATCTTGGACTCTGCCAAGCGGCCTGTGGCGTTTGATTCGAACAAGTTCGATGCATGCGAGGGCCTGCTGAAGGGTGGCGCTCGGGCGCCGTCGGCGCGGCCTGTGTGGGATCCGCTGAGGGCCCTGAAGTCGATGGGGCAGCCTGAAGGGTATGGGGACGATGGGAAGGATGCTGAGACGGGCAGGAAAACAAAGGCCAGCCTGCTTGGAAACATCTCCCAGCTTTCGAAGGAGCTGCAAGTGGGGGAGAGCACCCTGGAAAACATCTTTCAGAGGAAGTAGGGTGGCCATGAGCCACGATGGTGGGTGTTCCCTGGGGGCGTGAGGGCGCCGCTTTGCAGTACTTGTTGTTTGTTGAAGAATGGAGAGGGGGCATGAGAGATGGTGGGTGTGGACATTTCGTGGGGAGCAGAATTTTCGACTTGATTGAATCGGCTTTGGGTGTGTCCCGGGGTGTGGTTCTTCCAGGATTCGCCGCACGGCCCACGGGAGGCACACGAGTCAAATTTGTTGGTTGGTACATGTCGCCTTTGTGGGCTGTGGACATGTCTGCTGGTGCAGCGGGAGATGGTTCTCACGCTATCTTTGCAGGTGCCAGCAGCTGGCCTTTGGGTAGGACACGCTCCGTGTCTCTGTGCAATCGAATCCATGCGCATTCATGGCATGCAAATGTCTGATGAGCCTTGCGACCTTCGTGTGCGTGTTTTGTTGACACTGGTTGGGTGAACAAATGGCGCTTCTCCGCCATGTATAGTATTCTGGGGAGTGAGAAGAACAATGCCGGATAGCCTATGTTGTGTGTGGCGATGGTGCTGTCAGCGGCAGGGGTCGATGTCTGGGCGGAACGGGACCCTGGTGTGCTCTGTTAGCTTGACGCATCTGTCCAGGGTGTACATTTTCCAACGGTGAACAAAACGTTGTGGCGATGGTTTTTGCCGCATGGGCTGCCAAGATGTTGTTGTGTTGCGATTGAAGGTTTGTGGGATGTGCACCGGCGAGTTGTGCTGGTTGTTTTAGAGTTGAGAGGCACGCAAATGCGGCGCGGACTGCATTGTAAACGTCTCTGCTTGAGTTCCGGATGGTCGCCAACGGTGGCACGGCGCAAAGCGATCCTGGATCCGATTGAGGCCTCTTGTCAGAACACCCATTGGCCCTCAGATGCTAGGATGCAGCGCTGTGGCCATGGAGTTTATCCCCGCTGTTGTTCACCAACATGCCAGCTCGTGGCATGCAAAATATCCTGCCAACTCGATAGTGTCGGTGCAGAAATAGCAAAACAACGAAAAGCAAAGAAGCAGAAACAATCACACAGAAACAAACCACGGTGTCAATGTAGTCAGACTCGCGGAGACAAATCGCCGTGTTTGTCTCGAAGCAGACGTGGCAACCGCTTCTGCCTCACCGATTTCCCGCACCCACCCTCACGTGCTTTCCCCCCTGGGACAGGGCACAAACACAAATGCATTCAGTCGGTGTCCGTCACCGAAACATCTCCATCCGAGGTACGCATGACTCCAAATGCACCACTTCGCTTCCCAGTATTTTATGCTTCCTTAGCGCATGACTCAGCCCTGAGCCAGCCCGTTAATCCCGTACTTCCGTTCCCCAGCACCTCACAAGCAGCCAGACGTCTTGGTTTCCAGCGCGCTTAAGAGGATGCACGTCACCGACTTGTTCTGTCCTCACTCTCGACCTCGTGGAGCTATTTTACCTCGAGCTGAACAAGTGAAATGCGAAGGATTGAATTGACCTTCGCGTTTCCTGTGCGAATCATGTCCATGCAAGGGCGCAGCACGAACCTTGGGAGTGTTATGATCACTTGCCGTGGATTTTGCAAGGAGATGTGGGTCTCACTTGAAGTGAGACTCGTGTAGTGCTTGATAATTCGAACAGCGTGCCAGGGTTCGCCTGCGGCAATTGCAATGAGGTGACCTTGCGTTTGGCGCTGCACCACACCACAAAGTCCTCAGACGGCGTCTTTCGGTGTGCACGTCTACAACTCCTTTTGCTGGCGGCTGGTTGTCCTCCCGTTGCCAAGCCACAACACGAACACACGGCCTCCACTTCTGCAGTGCTGCTAGTCGCAGGAGCTGGCAGGTGGCGAGGTGACAAGTCTCCCTGGAGTTCAATGAGTCACTGGGGCACATCCGATGGCAGGTAGAGGAAAGTTCTGGACTTGATTAACCGACAGGAGACCCACTTCGCAGTCGTGGTCATTATACGAGGCGCCCCGAACACTGATTGACAACTCAACATCGAGCACGGCCAGTCATTTCTTTTCATTGTCTGGGTTCTTTTCATTGTCCGGCCCTTTGCGGCGGCCTGACGGGGCGTGCGCGTCACACCACGTCGGAACGCCGCCCGAGTACAGCCCACCCCTGGCGCCATCCATATCCCACAACCACCGGCTGCCGGGACGAGGGTGCCAGTACTTGCCCCACTGTCCCGAATCCTGCCTGCCGCGCGTGGCACACGCGCAGAGGCACGGAGCCGGCCAGTTCCTTTCCGGCCCGGAGGCTTACAAAACAGCCAGCTCGAGACCGCGGGGGCGCACGCGCGGCGACGGCCATGGCGGGCGCAATCGGCCTGAATGGGATTCACAATGTCACTGGGCAGTGCGACCTGTGCGGCCGGGCCTGCGACCCAAATGGGGACGAACTCAACGCGCTGGACTGCACCTACCCCACCTGCCCGCCGCTGGTGTACCATCAGGACTGCCTGGAGAAGTACCTGAAGAGCATCCGGCTAGAAAAGTGCGCATACCCTAACTCTAGGGCCTGCGTGGGGCTGGACCTGAGGGTGGGAGGGATGCCGGGCACGGCGCCGATCAGCGCAGCTTTGGTTGCGAGAGCGTCGGGAGGGGGGGTTTGTCGGCTAGGAGCGCCGAGGGGGGAACCTGCCTGGGCGCGAAATGCGACAGTGGGTCTGGAGGTTGTGCCTTTGCGTGCGTGAGCCTGTCGCGCGGTGGGGAGGCTCCGACTGTGGTGGTGGCGCCACTCAGCCTCAGGGATGGCGGGCGGGGCGTTCAGATTCGCACGGGGGAGCACCCAGCGCGGGTTGCAGCCTGGGTCGGCGCCAGGACTGTTTTTGACGGTAGAACCCAAGTTCTGGCTGGCTCCCTGAAGGCTTGCATTCTGTGGGCGCAAATGCGGGCAAGAGCCGCGCGTTGCGGTGTCCCGTTGCAGGCGTCTGACAGGCAGTTCCCTCACGCGTGTCTGGGCGCGGCGTTCTGTTCGCGGCCGGTCTTTCTTGTTGCATCGCTCAGTACTTGCTGCTTGGCGCAAGGAACCGCAAGACCGGGTTCAAATGCCCACGAGGGACTGGAAAGGGCACATCTTCCGCCGAGCCTTGCCCCGGGAAGGTAAAGGAGCTTACTTGTATGGCCTGCGTTGCGGGCTTGTTCTGTTCTTGGAGACTGCTGCATCATGTTCGCAATACAAACGGAGACTGCACAAGAATGTTCGGGAAGGGGATGTCGATCATATGAGGTGCTTCCTCCTTTCTGGGGCAGCGTTGCGCCTAGGTGCCCTTACGAACACCTAGCGAACACCGTGTGGCTGCGGTTAGCATTGATGACTTTGGCATGTTGTTTGGAAGGTTGGCCACAAAGTACAGCGAGCTTTTGTGCTGCTGACCCTTGTTGGCAGCAAGGAAGCATCGGCCGCACACCACAGGCAGGATTCTGATATCTGCTGCTTGTCTTGCAGATTGACAAGTCACACCCTATTCATCCCAGAAATCATGTCAGCAAGAAGAAAAAGAAGGTTTGTGCTGGGGTCACTGCTATGTCAGTGTTAACAGGTCCCTAAGCTGGAGATCATCCTGACCTGGAGTCTCTTATTTGCAAGTCATTAACCTTTTGGTCGTTAGTACTGTCCATTTGCAGAATTCTGATAGTGCATAGCGGCATAATGGACTGGCCCAATGTCTTTCCGCACTCCACGCTGATGGGTGCCCTATACTCTTATCGTGCTGTGGGGCCTGCTGTGATAACAGACTGGTGTCCTGCGAATGTTGATCGGAGCAGCAAGTCATGGTACTGTTACAATATTGTCAGCACACTGATGGCCTGTTTGGCGTTGATTCTGTTGTCCCTTTGCTGCATCAGTGTGCGAATATGTGCAGGTGCTTGTTGTGTCATCTCTTTCGCCATGCATTGTCTTGTCAGCCAACAACAAACTTATGTCTCATGTAAGATAGTAGGACTGGTGGTTTGATATTCAGCAGTTGGAATCCAATATAGATTGTGTTGCCCATGAGATTGTTCCTGCACATGCAGCCAGTGGATGCTCAAAAACAAAAGCCTGCAGCCCCAGCCAAACAGGTCAAAGGAAAAGAGAAAGATTCTAAGCAAAAGGACGAGAAGGGCAAGGAAACATCGAGACCGGCAGGCATCAAGGCACTGTAAGTTCTGGACCTGACACTGATAGCACATACATGGCGTCCTATTTGCCAGACCCTAGTAATGGCTGTCCCTGAGAAACAGAATGAAAATGTGTCATGCTGTGGGCAGTCCCATGCACATCGGGATTATCTTTAGTACTCTATTCCATACTGCAGAAGCCTACGAAAGCACCAGAGTGCAGCAAGAATGGCATGCAACAGAGAGTGGCACGATCAGCAGACCTTGGGACTGTTTTCAGTAGCGCTGGCTGTAGAAAGTGCTTGTGATGAGGCGTTCAAAGTGATGCTGGCTGATGCCACAGAGAGTACTGGAGCTCTGTTGGATGGCCATGCATGTCAGATCGACAACTTGAGGAGATTTGTGCCATTGCTGAATCTGACAAGTTCATATGCCCATGCGTCTTGAAAATGTGACATGAGAAGTGATTGCTGCTTGTTGTGGATTCTAGTGGATGGCACCCTGTCCAGTGGTTTTCGGCCTTGCAAATGGCTGCAATGGTTCTTCTCGAGCTGTTTGCCATGCTGATTTGTGATTTTTGCCCAAGTTTCAACAGTGAACATCAGTGTGACCTGCACAGTGTTGTCCTTGCGTAGCCCCACGTGACTGGGGCCAAAAGTGCTTCAGATGATTGTTAGGTTCTTGCATCCCAGCCGGATATGCTCTTTTACGAAATGGCACACCTGTATGTTAGACTTTGGTGCAATTCTTCACAGCTTTTCTGGAGGTGCAAGCATGTACTGTTCGCACGTGCCTGTAACTCTGCATGCGCTTTCTGCAGTGTCACTGTTGCACCAGATTGTTAGTCCAAGTGATGTGGAGTGCACAAGTAGAATTGGAACGTGTAGGAAACCTATGGGCAGGTCACAGTGTGTGTGTGTGTGTGTGTGTGTGGTGGTGAGTGAAATTCCATTACAATAACGAGGCTTTGTATCCCCCTATTCAACCTCAACCGTGAGGCTATGCAGGGTGGAGCCCCGGGACCCATGAAATGTACAACAACATGTCCATATGTCTGTTCAGAGAAGCACGTGCCCATGAAGTGTGTGTGGTGGTGTGGAGGTGGGGTGTGGGAGGGGTATCAAACTTGCACCTGTGCTGCCCTTATGGAATGGTTATCTGCAGATCTTTTAGGTGATTGTCAGTGAACGCATTTCAGAAAGCGAACAAGGCATCCAAATTTCCTGAAGGCTGGCTGATTAGTCACTGTACAAGATATCTTCTGTTGGGAATGGACGTAGCTCCCCTGCCCATTTTTGTTGTGTATTCCCGACTGATTCCATCTGCCAACAATGCACCCCACTGCTCTTGCTCAGTTGTTTGTCCTTTTTCAACAACAGGAACATGCCAAACACAGCATTCATCGCCCCTATGAAATCTCCTGTGGCAAGGTCGCCTGGAAGTTCAAGAAGCGATCTTGCATCCAAGCCCACTGCCAGAGGATCGACCTCAGCCACTCCCAGCTGGAGTTCCCAAGAATCTGCAAGCCGCGATGGCCCCAGGCCGACCCCTTCTGTGCCCACTGTCCCGCTGGCCAGTGCTTGGTCCAAACCTTTGGCCGGAGTGTCCCGCAAGCAGGCCCCTGATCTCACGTCCCTCACAGCATTCCCGCCGGCCAGATTCTCACTACCTTCAACGCTGGAGGATGAATTCCCACTACCCACCGCAGCACTTGCGTCCAGCAAATCTGAAGACGCTTCCCGATCAGGCAGCGGGTTGGCCTCGGCGAGGTCAGACGAGCTGCAGAGTGCGACCCCACAGACGTCTTTGCCACAGGCATCTCCATGGGGACCTGGCATGCGATCAACCTCCCATGGCCGGAGTCAGTCCTTGGTGGCAGACAACACAGCGAGCGCCAGGATGGTCACAAGGTACCCGCCAGCACCCAGCGCGGAATCCACAGACCTCCCCGTGGGGATGGATTACTTGCAGGAGGCCCAGCTCACAAAGTCCCAGAGACGGAACATGAAGCGCACGGAGCGGAAGAGGAAGGGCGCCAACAACGAGAAGGACTCCCTGTCGTCCTCGCTGGACAACACGCCCTGCGGGAGCCCACCCGAGCAGGAGGCTGAGAACGGGATTGGCAGCGTGCTGAGGGACCTGTGCGTGGAGAGCCTGGTGGCCTGGAAGGCCACCAAGCACTTCAAGCAGCTGCAGATGCTGGGCTTCACCGCCCCGCAGAGCCTGCGCGCGCTGCAGAGGTACGGCAGCGACATCGAGCTGGCGATCGCCTGGCTGCTGGATGGCGGGGTGGAGGCCGACGATGACTGCTTCGGCCTGCCGGGGGACGTGGCGCCGGAGATCAACCTCACGGACGAACTCAACCTCCTAGCGGAGATGCAGAGCGTGTTCGGCATCCCCCACGACGTGATCGAGCAGGCGGTGGTGGACTGCAACGGCGACCTCAACGCGGCGGTCTGCAGCGTGCTGGAGCGTCGCGCGGACGCCCCCGCCGGCAAAGATGCGGACAGGTTTCAAGACGCGGACCGCCTTTGCGATCCTGGCGCGGCGCAAAGCACAAAGATCCCCTCGTCCACAAAGCCCCCCCCGGGCTTCGATCGGGATCGCACCGTGGAATCTTATTCTTACCGGAGCGCGTCAGCCGAGGCCGGGGATGGTGTGGGCATGGGCGGCGCCAGGGCGCCCGGAGGCCTGCTGGATGCCCCAGGCCACGTGGTGGACAGGTGGGCGCTGGGAGGGGTCCTGGGCAGTAACCTGGACGCCTACCGGAGCGGCGCCGCGGACTTCACGTCTTTAGGCATCCGCGCCGCCCGCCTGCCCGCCGACGGGACCGGCGACGTCGATCTCGCGAAGCTGTCCCAGCGGCGAGGCACGGAGATCCCGCTCCTTGGCGGCCACGGCTGCGGGCCGCAGGCGCCCTTCTGCGGCGGCGGGAGTGGAATGGCTGGCGTCGCCGGCGTGGGCAACCTGGTCACGGATTTGGAGCATTACAACAGGCTGATCCAGAGCGAGGGGTCCAGTAGCGTGTTCGATCGGCTGGATCGGCTGCAAGGGGGTTATGGCGCCGAGGGCGGCGCCAAGGGCGGCGCGGGGCTGGCCTGGGGCCAGCTGCCCGGTGTGGAGGGGGGCCGGTGCACGGGGGACGGGCCTCAAGGCGCGCTGCGGGGTGCCGGGGCGGTCAGCGGCAGTGAGGTGGAGCAGGCAGAGGAGTTGGAACACCTGCTGGGGTCGCTGCTGTGCCGATAGTGGGGGGACGGCAGGGCGCGCGCCGGAGTGCTCAGTCTGTGTGCGAGCGGGCCTGTGGGGTTGCCTGGGGCCGGAGAGCGAGGGAGGATGTGTTGCCCTCGAATTGTTGCATGGGTCGCGCCTGGGCAGCAGGTTGAGCCGCCTTTGGGGGTGGCCTTGGAACGTTACCAAGCCGGAATTCTTTCGCTCCTACGCCGCATCGTGTTCGTTCGGTGCGGACAAATTGGTGGGGACGTTCGCCGGCGAGGCAATGGAGGGCGTTGTGCGCGATTGGCTGTGTTCCGGCGCGGAGCTTTTGTGGCCTTTTCGGATGCGACGCTTTTTGCGTTTTGTGTTTTGTGGGGGTGGGAGGTGTGACAGAAGGGGTCCGTTCAAGCGCTCTCCTGCGAACGTTGCAAATGGAGGGAGCGTGTATGGTGATGGGATAGGGAGAGGCCGAATGGATGGGTTTGAGACTGGCAAAAGGCGTGCCTCTAGCGACTGTGCATACGCAGGGGGCGGTGGCAGAAGCGCGCTGAGCTTGGGGTCCAATGGGACTGCAGGAGGTCGGGATTCTGGTTCGTGACGGATATAATAGATTTCTTTGTTGCTTGTTTTGTGTAACAATAGCACTATGGACAGCATGCCTTCGTGTGGAGTCTCTGCGCTTGTGGCAACGCTCGCTGTGAGGAAGTCTGTCGCAAAATTTGTCCCAAGAACGTGTGACTTGCTCTGTGAATTGCACCGTTTAACAATTCATTGCTTCCTGTCACATTTTAGGTGATGGCTGGAAAGAAAACAATGATCGCCCGGTCTACGCTGACTCGCCCAGTCCTTTTTCAGCAGTTTAATTGCTAACCGCGCCCTCAACCCCCATATCAAACTCTGCAAAATCTGTGGTTTCGGCAAGAATACTTGGGGATCAACAGCCTCTCCCAGGTCGTTGTCCTCCGTGCCGGCGAAACCCCGCCATCACGGCACCGTCACACCGAAGCTCTATGGAGCGCTCAACCAAGGCAATGTCATGGTGGAGCTTTGTGCTGGATAGTCCTGCCAACTGCTGCTCCTCACAGCAAGGTTTTTTGATTGTTTTGTCATCGAAATGACCGTATTGTCAGAGGAATACAAATGCCTCCTTCCCGCTGGCTTCAAGTCGAGAATAGAGGAAGACAACTGCCGGGCCAGGACGCACACAACGTCCTTGCGCCACCGCCCAACTCGTGCCTCCGTTTCCGAGCACCTTCCGGAGCTCGAGCGGGCGAGCTGCCAACATGGCCGGCGTCGGCGCGGCCGTCCTGGCGGACCTGAATGCTAACTACGCGGGCGACAGCGTGGCGCTCACGGTGACGCACAGCAATCTCAAGGCGACGTTTCCAGAGCTGAAGTTCTCGCTCCAGGTACTGACCAGCTCGTTGCAGCTCCATGGAATCACATCCGACGCGGCTTGGATCCCGCGGAAATATGCATTCCACGGACACCAACGTGCGCAACACAGGCACCGTCGGCGTCGCATCGCGTGACCGTTTCCGCCGTTTGGTTTTGTGCCACGCTCCTTGTCAGGTCCATGAGGCACCTGCGCAGTTGAGAACACATTTCTGCTGTTGTTGCCAATCAGGTTACAGGGGATTGAGGTAGTAGATCTGCCATGTGTCAGCAACCTTGGATCTGTCGTCCTCAATGGGATCGACATTAATCGCCGAAACCAAGGAAAAGATGCAACAGGGTAACGTCTGTTTCGACGCAGAATATTCCTTTCTCACCAGAGAGTGAAGTTCGGTGAAGGGTCGAGCAAATGAGGACAGATACACAACCGGCCTGCGGCCTCCCACTTAGCCTTCTTTCAGTATTTCGTTGTTCTCCCAACTGCTTCGAAGTCTGATATGCACATCCAATTGATCATGAGCAATGTCAAAGAGCTTTTCTACATTTGCCATCACATGGAGTACCAGGCTATTGTATTTGGTGACCCAAATGTTTTGTCCCAAACATAGTGTCAAAGGCTGCCTTCCTGGTAATAGCACATCCCCTTTGCCCTGCCAAGGGCACATGTCCACCAAAATATAAGAGTAAGGTGTTGCTCAATGTGCACTTGCCACACAGCAGGTGAGGATTCTTCCCTGTATATGCACCACAGTGGGAATGCTCAGTGAGCACTGATGCCAGAATCAAAAACAATCCAATCCAGGCCTTGCTGCGGGATGGTGCAGCAACCTTATGGCCTTCCCTGTGCAAACCTGCATTTGCTATTGCCACTGAAATACACCATGAAGCAAATGGGACATCTGCTGGTAAAGTGATAGGCCCTGGTAAAGCTTCCTTCTGCTCATGTGTCATACATCCGTGCGGTATGTGTGGTGGCCACCGACGATGGTGTGCAGCTGTGCCCAAATCGTGTACTCAGTGTGGACTGAGGGGTAGTGACTGCAATGCTTGCAGCAATCTCTGCTTGCCCACGACAAACAGGGAAACCATTGCATACTCTGGCTTGAATTGCACAATGGTCAAGTGGTTCTTTCATTGTGTTTGCTTTCACAGTTCCAGACAATTTTTGTATGTTCAAGACAATGGCAAGTGCTTATGTGGGAGATTGATTGCCTCCTGTCCATTTGCATCTGCGCTCCACCCTTGGATACTGTGTAGAATGCTGCAAAAAGAATGCAACAAAATCCTAGCCGCTCGGTGTGAAATTGTTAATTCAATTAATACAACTGTCAGTTGACACGACGCTGCACTTGCACCTTACAGTCAGTGACAGTCATGTGGCCTCACTCAGGCGTCGTTCCAAAACTATACATCTGCTGTGATGCATGTCAAAAGTACATACAGAGAGTGAGATAGACACCATGCTTTGTGAAACGGCCAAAAGCACCATCCAGGAAAGATGGGTCAAACTGATCAAGGTCTCCAACAGTCAATCTTACAAAGGGAAGTGCAAGAACCCATCCCATTACTCCCATGGGGGCGAAGGTAGGCAATCGACTGCCAACACACCAGCATTTGATCAATGCAGCCCTTACGGTTGCAGCAACAGTTTGCTTTCCATTTTCCATAATACAGCAGAAGGCTGAACTTGCATCTAATGGCTTTGATACACAGTCATCTGTTGAGGAGGTCAAAATGAAGCTCTCGCAGAGATGTGGGACTGCTCCAGCTTCGATGGACCTGATTTTGAAGGACTCAACTGGGGCAGCACTTGTCAAGCTGGATGATGACAACCTTCCCCTTGGGCACTATTCACCACACAACGGGTGGGTTGACCATTCTAGTTTCCCACTCGTAGTTGTGGTGTGCCACGTTTTGTTTGCAGCCTTGCATTGACCTGTGTGCACATTTGGGCAACGGTAGTACTTGTGCAAGACACACCAGATTTGTGGTGCTTGATCTGTGTAATTGCCACATTGAATCTGCTACCATGTGCCAGCAGCTCCTGCTGCACAATCCCTATGGTGTGCAGCTGCGAGTGTGGCTATTTGGGGGGCGCAAGGTTTGCTGGCAACCAGCATTCAGCACAATGCTACCAGGTAGATAAACACTGCAGGGGCTGCTCATGTGCTTATGCGATTTTGCACCACGAATAACCATGGTGGACTGGCACATATGTGACATTTGCAGAGTGCCAATGTACAGTGTGGTGCAGTTTAAGACATATGGAGATGTTGGGCTGCAACTTGTCCTCTGAGCACGTTGGACTTGAGGTATTGGGATGAGAAACCCATGCTTCACATTGTGCACTTGTTGGAACATGTATTGGGGGCAGAAATTGCCACACAGACGTCTACCACAGCTGCTCAATCCGGCCACAGTATGCGTAAAAGAATTATCGAACCATACATGTCAAGTTATATGTCAAATCGCTGACGCTGCCTTGATGTGTACTCCGACAGAGCTATTGACTGGACGAGTGGTTTATCCAATGCCCAATACCTTGAGAAAATTCCTCGAGGTGCAATTTTGTTTGGTTATGAGAGGTTGAATCCTGAGGCGGCGGCGCCTTCTTTGTTGGCAGTTGCATACTCCATGTGGTGGACCTGGACCCGTCATCTGCCTCCGCCAACGGTTGGCTGGATGACGTTTCTCAAATCGAGAAATTCGAAATGTCGGACGAGGCATACAGCAAGCGCGAGAACACCTTCAGGAAGTTCAAAGAGGGCCTGCAGGGCAGGGGTTCTGCCAAGTCCGGGGGGCCTGCAGTACCCGAGCATTTGGACCCAAATCTGATGGCGGGCAGCAGGTGCAAGGTGGCGGCGGGCGACAGGAGAGGTTGCGTGAGGTGAGTCTTTTGTTGATGCACCGCCCTCACGTGCATTTGTTACTCCGCCATTCAGTCGCATTGCTGCTCGAGGCGCCGCTGGGGATGCTCCTCCCTGGGCAGCGTCATTATTCCTCCGACTGCTCGTTTCATGGGCAGGTTGGTTGCTTGAAGCAGTGATTGATTGAAGGGACTGGACCGGCAGTGTGGATGTGACGTCCACCGTGGAGCCCGCTGATTGCTCGCTGACGTAATGCCGGGCTGCTGGTTCTGGCATCGCTCTTGGCACTTTCGCCTCGGAAACATTATCCGCCTTGGTGATGTTGCTGAAAATGCGCCAGCACCTGTTGGATTCACTGGATGACTATTTATGCATTTAATGGCTGCCAGCACCAGAGAATTGTCCAGTTTTTTTTTGGGGGGGGGGGGGCATGTGCTGTGCCATGAATTGGAGCTAATTTTTGTCGAGCCGAATTGGGGGATTAGTTGTTGCTCCCTCGCTTGGACAGGCGATGTCGCTTGATCTAAAGATCGATCCCCTGCCTCCCACAGATACGTTGGGCCCATCGATGGCCTTCCGCCGGGCACATGGGTAGGAGTGGAATACGACGAGCCGGTGGGGAAGAACGACGGGTCGGCAAAGGGCAAGCGGTACTTCCAATGCCAAGACAAATTCGGCGGGTTTGTCAGGCCCAGTGCGGTCACTGTGGGGGACTTCCCACCCCTTGACGTCCTTGAGGATGGGGGCGAAATCTGATCGGCGCCACTGTGCGTGCGGCTGTGCCTTCGGTTCGGAGGCAACGGGCTCATGGCGATCATTCCAGGCCATCCCCAGCCACGAATGTGCAGCCTTTTGGCATATGTCGTTTCTTTGATGTCGTGCCCCGGTGAAGTCGGCGCGGAGGAAATGCAGCTTCGGTGCTCGGCATCGGTGGGCGGGAAATTCGGCCGTTCTGTGGACATTTCCTTGTTGTTCGTCGTGGCTCAGCAGTGCTTCCGCGACGCCGGTTTGTCTCCACCGGCAGGGTGCACTGGGTGGGCGCTGGAGCGGCTTCTGCTCGCGGCTGGCTCATTCGCACGCATGGCATCCAGAAGCAGGCGTCTGTCAAAGATGCGCCCGAACGATGCCGAACCATGAGCAGCTCTTTCCACAACAGTCGTCCGCGTTGACAAATCGCGCCCAGATGAACCAGAAAAATCTTCTCCGGTCCCAGCAAACGTATTCTAGCATCCTTCTCGCGCATGGGCCCTGTCCCCAAGTCATCCTTGTCTGCAAAGTCTGTTTTAGTGAAGAAATGTTGCATAATAATGCGAGGAGGTAGCGTCTGCCCCCTATTTCGCCCGAGAAAGCAGCGTCCATGAATTATTCAATGAGGGCATTGCCACCACTCAACCAACGACTGCCATGCATTAGAACTCACAATTCACAAAATCATGTGTATCCAAACCGCTGATTCTCGTTGTCTGTGATCCCCAGGCATAAGAACTCATAAATGTCGTCAAGCACAAGAGTCTCAATGCCTCAATCCCTCAATGCCTTTCAAACCATTCCCTGAAAATTGCATCCACACAAGCAATATTTCCATTGAAAGCCCTTTCAACTGAGATGAGAAGCTGTTGCCATCTCCCTGGGCAGGCCTGGTGTCGTTCCAGCTACTGCTGCAAAATAAGCCATTCAAACCGAAATATATCAGCGGGAGGCAACCTGACATACACCATGCTGCAGTTCAAAAGAAACCAAAACCAATCAGGCTTGAAGAATTCTCCCTGCTACCCAGAAAAGGGGAGAAAAAACTGCGGATAGCGGGATCTGAGCCATTCGTCTCCTGGATTCCAGTCCTTTCAAGAACCATCAACAGAATTTCCAATTTGACATTTGAACCGTGTGGGCCAGCGGACAGAGACTCTATCCTGCTCGACACACGTGTCAGTGACAGCGGCCGTGACGACCGCCGGACGGGACGTCAAGCGATGCCAGGGACGAGCCTCGTCAAACCGCCGGGCAGCGGTTGGTCAAGCGGCGTAGACCAGGGGAAGAGGCGGCGAGCCGAGACGGCGACAGCCGGTTGGGCCCCCGGCAGCGACAGGGCATTTTGGGAGAGGTCTGCGCGAACAGGAAGTTGAAAGTTTTCTTCCATTCTGACCCGACCAGCCTGTCTGTCTTCAGCTCCATGTTGTGCCCAAGAAAACAGAGCGCGTGAATTTGCAAAGCAATCTGACAACCATGATTATGCTATTCCCGGAATAGATCTTTGACGCCAAAGCATCTGTCGAATGGCGATTATGTGTGACTGTCGATTAGCTGACGGCTACCTCATTGCCTTGTTCTGTAAATAATGGTGATGATGATGACTGTCGATTAAGGCTGGTGAGTCAAGGCCACGTACATTTGAGTCAGAGTGAACGTCCAACCCAAACACCCGGGCAGAGGCACCCAAGAGACAAGCAACTGCCCGCTACATTCCCAAGCGCAAATGCAAAGAGAAATTGAAAGTGATTAGGGCAGCTGGCTGAACCGGAAATGAGTCCTATCACAGGCTGCGACGTGACAGATGTTGTTCCGTCCGTGTGCCTGAGCTGCCTGCATATAACGTGCTCCGAATTCCACAGGAAACCCAACTGACCTTTCACCCGCGCAAGTTCCCTGGCCAAATTGGGCAGCCGCAATGACTCCCCAGCCTAATCGACACTCACACATAATGGCCATTCAACACATCGAAATGGGGTGCCTTTGCCAAAGCGAAGCGGGGACAGAAGCAATAGCGATTTGGTACCGCTGTGACAAAAGACGCTCTTGCCTTTTTGGTGCATTCTCTCATAGGATGGTAATGAGTCAGTAAAATGGAGTCCATTCTCGGGATCAGATCTACAGAGTGGCACTAGTTGCCCCGGGAATTGGAACAGATTGGGACAATCGATGCCGTTGTTGCACGGCCTCCTTGATGTGAGCCCCAAAGGACAAAAGCGGACACCAATCCACGAGGCAGTTGGCTGCAATGTGTAAAACGGAGCTCGTGGCATACGAGCATATCGAGGCGTGTCAAAATCCACACCAGGCGAGCACCCCGATACACAACGGAACAGATTTGTCGCGTCACCATCCACGCACTCCCAAAGATAGGCCTGACAAACTCGCCGGCAAGGTGGACTTATTTCCACATCCGCTGGAAGGACTGCCAGTCAGCTGTTGCCCGACGGGATGGCATGCCACTGTAATTCAACAAGCCGTTGCATCGTAACTTGTTGGTCGACTGGAAGCCTGGAGATGGTTCCATCATGTTGGAAGCCCAGCATTCAGGATCAGAAGAACTCCGCACCGGGCGCTGGATGGGATGTTTTCATGGCTTCGTGTGCGACGCGCATCCAAAAGCGTGGCTATAGATTACGGACGGGTGGAGGTGAAGATGTGATGCGGTCCAAAGGGTTGACGGAGGGTCCCTGGAGGCTGGGTGCCAAGGGGGTTTGGGACACGTGCCCAAGGAGTCTCATTGTGCCACACCAACACATGTGTGCCACTGTGCATCAGTGAACGGCAAACAAGCTGGTGCTGATCTTCAGTTTCGCTGGCGGCCTTGTGTGTCCCTGCTCCTCGCACGCTGAACCCCGCATCAGGCATCCACCAATGAAGCCGCATCCTGAGTGACCTGCAGTGCTGCATGGCGTGCACATCCGCGCCGCCCAGTGGCACAAGACTGCAGGTGACAAGACAAGTTTCGATGTGGCCTTCCACAACGTCTGTGAGCAATGAACAGTCCTTTATTGTCGTTACAATCTTGAACAATGTTATTGCACCGTGCTGCAAGGGACCCCTGCACCGAGTGCTGCGTGCTGCATCCCAAACGGCAGCTCGCCCATCGGAAGGCTCACAGGGGATTGGCAAAACGGAAGCCCTTGCTCCGCTCGAGCAAGCCAAAGTGGCCAATCTAATGGCCTGCAAAATTATAACCCATTGATGCTATTTCAGGCCACCCATTTATCACCCCACAATCCCAAATGGATGCCAACAACGCAGAGAGCACACCTCACCCAGACGTTGAGAGACGTCAACTTGTTGCAACTGAGTAGGCCTCGCAAGCCATGGATGGCAGGAACGACCACTTATTCACTGTATGGTTGGGAAGGCCACTCGAGCAAAGCCCACGATGGGCAGTTCATCGTCGGCCTGTGATACGCCCTTCCCTCCCGAGACATGTAGGCCAAAGTGCCTCCAGGCTCTGAGGCGCTGCACTGTTCTGTGTGCACGCTTTGGGCCCCGCCATAGCATTGTGAGCAGCAAGAAGTCCGCCAATTACATGCAATCTCATCCGCGCACGCTACACAGCCGAGTTGCATCTCCCTAAAACCGCTTTATCTGCATGCACGGAGTCCAAAACACATCCTGGAGCCAACACTGTGGGTGGAAAGACGCCCATCACCCCTCAAAAGGCACGAGGGCAGAATTCTGTCACATTTCGGCAAACGCAATAGAAATGCACTGGCTCATACGTCTCTGCTGCTACCTTCAAACTATGCTATCCAACAGCGTGACGAACCCCACCACGTATACCCGCTACAATTCGCCCCCAATGTGCCCCAAGTCGCGCGCAATCTGACGCACACGAATCAAGCAAAGCGCATCAACCCCAAAATGGACACCCCCAATAAATGAAACAGTGACATTCTCCACCCGCCTCCACCTTGTCGTGGGAGGTACCACCACCTGCTGCGAGTTCCCAACCATTGCACAGGTGGCTGCAGCAACCTTGTCCACAAGATCATTTCATCTGGCTGAGGTGGCATCAAATCATTCCATCAATTTGCCTGGCACAACCGGAAAGACACATCTCACAACACAAGCCATCGGCAACAGATCGAGAAGTACATTCTGGCCCCAGGCGGAGTTCACCCCGTTGCAAGCATGCTTAATTGGCCCTGGCATGGGAACTGCACTGTGTCAACCAAGCAACGTGGCACAATGTGGACAGTGCTCAGAAGTTCGTGCATTCGCTTGGGACGCATTTCACTACTTGGTGTCCAGTGTGCTAATCTACTGCGGAACAGTGCGCATCTGGCAAGTCTCTGACTATAGGCACTGTGAGAAGGCCGTCACGGCAGCTGACTTACTGCACTGTGAACGTAGCTACCAAACAACTGATCCTGCAGAACAAGAGGGACGCCTCGTTGGTTGTTCATGGGTCTTGGGAACGACTCCCAATCCCGCTGGGCCTCCTAAATGTGATGCATGTTTGTGAAACATGACAAGCAACCCACCAGAAACAATAACCAGCAATGACGAGCACAGTACAACATTCTCTAACAGCAAAAAACAATTCTCGGCAGAAACCTGACTTTGCAAGCAAACTATGTTGCAGATATAACATTGTACTACAGTTGCATGCATCGCACACTACAGATGAATGCACACAATGGATCAAACCAACACCAAAAAGGTGCGAACCTAGGTTCCCACCTATGTGAGTCGTGGCTGGGAGCGACTCCCAAAAAATCATGGGGATCTGACTCTGGTAGACAGTGGCTTGGAGAATATGACGCCTGGTGCGACTTCACAGTGACTGCAGGAAAAGAGGCATCTGCAGCTCCACCTTGGTCCCATGGGCTTGCCACTTCCGTGTCCTCGACCTGTGGCAAATAACCAACAAAGTAAATAAGGGTGACCACCAGGGCAAATATCTTAAGCCCGAAGGAGCTACCAGCATGGTACAACACTTCTTAACGGCACTCCCACCTGCTCTTTTCTACCTGTGATGTTGCACCAAACGCATCCATATTCCCAATACAAGGACTGCCCAGGTGAACCAAACAGATATCCAAACAGCTTACTGTAAACAAACTCCGAATATGGACACTGACCCTCTTCAATTCAATCTTTGCTCTCATTTCAGGTGGACAAAGCTGGACACCACTGGCTGTTGAAATTCAGTATTGCAGGACAATGAACATCGGCAGTCCAAAAAGTGCTGTTCAGCCTCAAAGCTCCATTCAATTAGATATCTAAAAACACTAACACCAACAAACTCCTTGACACAATGCGACAACTCAGAGATTCTATTTTACAATCAACACAAAGGTACATCCCCAAAGGGACCCACCAGGGAGCTGTCCTTCTTGCTATAATACATCGCTTCTATCTCCTCAACGACAGCATCTGCGGCCACACCGTGTGCCTCGCAGTGCTGCTTCAGTGCGACAACCTTTCTGGTCTGCATCCCAATAGCCAGTGCCGCATCGTTCAGCTTCTCCTCACACTGCTGCAGCTTCTCCGTGAGCTCTTCCACAGCCACACTGCGGTCAGGGGCAAGCGCCACCTGGTCGCCTTCAGTTTGTTCTCGGTGGGTCTGCTGACCGACGGGCGCACTCGCCACTTTCATGCTCACAGGCTCTCCAAGCTTCAGAGCTTGAATGATCCGTGCCAGCTGCGCCTGCGAAAGGGACTTCCTCTCTGCAATCTTTGAGTCACTGGAGTCCACATAGCCAAGGAGCTCTTGTATGTCCAACAACATTGCCCCCATGTCGATGCCGTCCAAGTTCATGGTGTAACCATTCTTTGGGAGTGGTCCAGGATGCAGCTTCCCATTGGTGTCTTCCAAGCCCCGTTGCTGTGCGCTTTGGTGGACGGAATGGTCCTCCTCTCTGATGGTGGCCTCAGCTCCACCTGGTAAAGAGATGGCAGCATGATGCTCTGCTGCAAATTGGTCATCTTCCAAGGTGATGCCCAAGACCCCTTGTGGCTGTTGAGGGGTGGCATCCACTTCGATGGCCGACTTCTCAAACTGCTCCTTTCTGAGAGGCAATCCCGACATCTCGCGTGCAGAGTCGTCGCGCTGGTTGTCATGCACACGTAACCCAAGCACATCTGGCTCTTGTGCAGGTCCTGAAGCAGTCGTTTCTTCGGCCCTCTTCCTTGAGCTAGGGGCCTCGGACGCATCCTTGTCCAGGTCAGCCCTGCTGCCTGCAGACTTGCCAGTTTCCATGCCAACCCCATGAGAAGATCCCAGGGGTGCTGCCTCCATCGAGCTTGGGTGATCGCCAATGCTCAACGGCGCAAGCGTCCGGGCAGCCACTGCGTCCACATGCTGGCCATCTTCCTGCTCACACGCTGCAGCAAGGCTCGAAATCTGGCTGTGCTGGGCCTGCGGACTGCCTGCTTCATCGTCCATGTCCGCATCATCATCCCACGGCAGGGGCCCGGTCAGCTTGCTCCCCGCCTTTAGCCGCTCCCGGTCGCCGTCATACAGCCCCAGCGGGGAGCTGTCCACCTTAGGCGTGGTGTTGACGTCCAAGAACATTCCAGATGTGGGCCCCGCTCCCCTGCTCCATTTCTCCGCTGACTCCCCACCCTGCCCACCTTCGAGCGACACGCTCACCGCCGGCAGACTCAGCCCTGGCACATCCAGCGCCGCTGCGCCGCCGGGTCCATCCACAGGCTGTCCAGCACCCGCTAGCACGCCTTCCGCCTGGGCAATTCCCCCTCCCTCCTCCTTCCCCTGCCCGAAGGCCCTGTTCAGCAGCTCCCGAGGGTTCTCCACGCTGTGCTTCCTCTCCATGTCGCTGCTCACCGCGGCCACCAGCCCCGCGTCCTCCCCCTCCCCTCTCCCCTCCTCGCCCCCCTCCCCCCCTTCGGCCATTCCTTCGTATCCCGCCACCTCCTGGTCGGGGTAGTTCACGCTCACCCACCACTTCCAGAAACCGTTCCAGTTCTCGGGCGTCCATGACGTCCAGTCGTCCCGCCCATACTGCTCGTCCAGCCAGGCGTAGAACTCCTGCCAGGTCTCGTCCGACCACCCCGCGTATATCCACGCGAACTCGCTTACGGCCTCCCCGTTCTCCTGGTCCTCGCCCGCCTCCCCGTGCGCCTCTCCCGCCGTGCCCAGCTCGTTCTGCTCGGAGATCATCTGATTCACCGCGTCGAAGGTGGTCTCCTCCCACAGGCCGTCCCCGCCCATGCCGCCCGCCCCGCCCAGCTCCTCCCCTGTCTCCGGGTCCACCATCGCCTCGGAGATCACGGCGCCTAAGCCCGAGCCCCGCGTCAGCGGTTCCGTCTCGCTCGTCATCCCCTGGTAGTCCAAGAACGTGGACGGCGCCCCGCCCCGCTGGCCGCCGAACGCCCCAAGATGCACTTCCCCGCCCAGGGACTCGATCGGCCCCATGCCCGTATCGCCAGTCCGGTGCCCATCTCGCCCGGTCTCGCTGCCGGCCACGGGGCCCCCCGTGCTCCCCTCAGACTCCTCATCCCCACCGGCGATTCCCCCCTCTGGGCCGGAGCCGACGCTCTCCCGCTCATCCTCGGCCCCAGCCGGGGCAGCGGGCGCGGGGGGCACGAAAAGATTCGCCCGCGGAGCGTCGGCGCGCTTCGGCACCAGGCTGCCGATCCCCTGCGGAGCATCTCGCCCGCCGTCCTTGCTCCCAAAGCCCGGCGTCTGCACGTACCGATTCTCGATGCTGCGCCGCTCGACGTTGTACCCGGCCGGCCCCGATGCCGGCCCCCCCTTGGGCGGCGCTGCGGAGTCCTCCGCCTCCTTGCGAAGGTCGTCCTCCTTGCCGGGCTCAACCCAACGCTTCAGCTCCTCGTTATAGTACATGCCAAGGTTCTCGCCCAGCTTGGCTGCCTGCGGCTGCTTCTTGGCCCCCGGCCAGCTCATCTTGCCCAGCCAGCTCATCGTGCTGCCTGAAAAGGATCCGCCCGGCGGTAGTTACGCGGCTGTTCGAGGCGGTGGGGGTTGCTGGCCGGGCGGCCAGCGGAGGTTTGGTGCCGCAGGGACCGTGTCCTGCGGCCGTGCTCTCTGTATTTCGTGTAGCCCGGTGGTGGGGAGGGGAATGAGGGCAGGTGGGGCTGGGGTGCCGGGTGCCGGGACGGACGGGGAATGCCGCGGAGAATTCGCGCTCGGACGGGGAGCGGGTGCGGGGGGTCCACGGATAATGGTGGTCTTGGAGGGATCATCATCATCATTCATTTTTACGGAACGAGGTGATGAGGGCAGCCGTGAGCTCCCTGTCTGACCGAGCCAAGAACTGGCGTTGACAAGGCAGGCAGGATCGAGGGGTGGCGGCCGCTTGCTGGGGACCATAGGCTGAAGTACATACCGAAAGTTTCAAACCCTTCAGAGGTGATGAGACAATAAGAATTGAATTGAGGACAGTGATGAACGGACAGCATTATAAAAACCTTTAGAGGTGATGGACAACAGGAACTGGATTAAGGACACTGATGGACGGACACGAGTATACAAGGGGCAGAATCCCCGTTGTCCCTTTGCTCCGCAGTATTGCAGGAGACACCGCAGTACTTTTTGGAAGCGCAGCGCACAAGTGGTCAGAGAATCATAGTCAGTGTCTGGCTCTTGATCATCTCTGGATGTCCAGTGATGGGGTGCCTCAAAGCGAGAATGAGGCACCTGCAATTCTTTTGAAGACACAACAGCGGTCGAGGTAGCAATAAGATCGGCCAAGCGAATCCTGCACGTTGGCTACAATATGAGTCAAGGCCCTGCCACGATCGATCATGCCATTGCATTTGCGCTTTCACGAGTACCTTCACTGCCACAGCAACCTGCACAGCAGGACACACTTGCTTGCCCCACAGCGATTGTGCCCTGTAGGCACATGGTTACAGTTGGCCACTGCTGGCGATTGTAAGCACAGAAATTACACAAGCGCATGCAGGGCGCCAACAATCCACAGCACATGCCACACGCACCGTCCACTTTGTGGCGTCATTCAATGTTTCAGCTACCACACAAGCACTTTCCCCGACCAGGGTTCAGCCCTCCACATTCGGAATCTATGTCCAGCAGAATCTACACAAGAAAGCCTCATATCCACAAAATCGCAGTGCAGCCCTGCTTCTTGACACTGCTGTATGATGTTACAATCAGGAGTCCCTTGTACATATAGTTGCACAACTGATCTATGGCACCCTCCCCTCAAGCAAATGCGGCAAAAAAAATGTGCGGGTCCTGCTCCTTGGAAGCCAGCTGCATCAGCAGCTTCCCTCATCAATCACGTTTCACTCTGCCACCCCACCCACCCACCCCACCCACCCACCCCACCCACCCCATGCCGTGCAATTCCACGTAGCTGCGCCTGCCAGCACACAATCACCTGCCAGCGGGTTTCTAAAACGTTGATAGACACATGCCTACAGAAAAATGTCGCCTGCGGGTTCTCAGCGACTGCAACCGTTCCTCCACCGTGTGCACTTGTACAGGGGCGGTCGACTGAGCCACCTGGCCAGGCCGCCCCGTTTGGACAGCAGGCGCACGATGTCCTTGTGGCCGTTCCTGTCCGCGTAGTACAGGGGTGCGAACCCATCGTGGTCACCCTTGTTCACTGGGTGGTTGACCTCTTTGCTCAAAAGCTCCTCCACCACGCCTGTCCAGCCGTGCTCCGCGCCGTAGTGCAGCAGTGTCTTGCCATCCCCGTCCTCAGTCCGCAGCACCTCGCTGGATCTGACCTGCCTAAAGTAGTGCAGCAAGTACTGCACGGTCTCCAGGTGACCTCGCTTGGCCGCCAGAAACAAGGGCGTCTCGTTGAGGCTTCCCCCACGCCGGTGCAGAAACTTGGCAACGGCCAGCTGTCCGTTCTCCGCCGCAGTCTGCAGGGGGGTGGGCAGGCCGTATCGGGCACCACTGTCCACGTCCAGCCCGAGTGAAACCAAGAACTCCACCAAGTCGAGGTTGCCGACCTTGCAGGCGAAGTGCAGACCGGTGTGGCTGTTCAGGTCCCTCTTCTCAGGGTCTGCGCCCCTCCTGAGGAGCTCCCGTATGACGTCTTTCCGGCCCCACTGCACCGCAGCGTACAGGGGCGTGCGCCCAAAGTCATCAGACCTGTCCACGCCCGCGCCCGCGTCCAGCAGGCAGCGCACGAGCTTCAGGTCGCCCCCAACACAGGCAAAGTGCAGTGGCGTCCGGTAGTCTTCAGTGCAGTGGGCGTCCAGCCTGGCGCCACTGTTCACCAGCTCCTTGACCACCTCTGTGTCGCCATGGTACACAGCGAAATGGAGTGGAGTACTGCAGTCCACGAGGGTCCTGCATGCGGGCAACATTCCGCTGTGAGCACACTTGTGGGACACGCAACAGACACAGCCCATGCAGCTGGAGGGTAATGGCTGGCATGGGTCCATCGTTGTTTGCTTCTTTGACCATATCTGGTAAGTTCCTGTCACACAGGAAGTCCAGAAAATTCGGAAGGAAGAAGATGAGTCTTCTCACCTTGGCATGGGGAACAGACTGTCGCCATAGTCAACATCCGCTCCAAACCTTGCCAGGAGCTTCAGGACACCGAGTTGGCAGTTGTCTGCAGCGTGAATCATGAGGTGATGGGGGGTAAAGCAGCCAGGCACTGGGACCTCCTTTGCATCCGGCTCCTGGACAGACTCAAGTAGCTGCTCCATGGCATCGATGTCATGTGCGTTGTAGTGATCCAGCATCAACTGCACAATGAATCACTCAAGAAACATCACACACCAAGGCAGCTGCCATTTGTGTGCAGGAAAGAAGTATTTGCGATTCGTGGAATTCAACATCAATATTATTATTATTACTTGCATACATAATTACCCTGTGCATTGCAGCAAAGGCGACTATGGTGGAATAGGGAAGTCCTGGATCAACAACCATGTTTGCAAGCAGTACATGACGTCACCAAATGAATGCATGGCCTGTGCCTCGTTGTGTACTGACACAATGTGACCATCAAGGAATGCATGGGCGCAAAAATGTAGGCTGCTCCAATGCCTTATAGAGGCTTGCCAAGATTCTCCAATTTTGGATGCAATCAACTGAAATACGAGGAATAACACAACCTTTGCGGAGTGTCAGTGGAAACAGCAAAGAATAAAGTGAACAGAGCCTGTGCTGCTGGAATGACAACTCCAAACTGAGGCAAAGGCAGAGCCATACAACAACTTGCAACGGAATTTACATGGTGAGGATATAAAATGCAGCTGACTGCCCTTCAACACCAAGTGGGCTGACAAGAGCGTGCTTGCAGAAGTGGTGTGCCAGATTGGAAACTCCTTTCCTCTGGTTGTGACATTCTTGTGAACATCACTGCACTAACCATGAGGATGTTGCACCAGCCTCCTATATTGATCTGTGCTGAGAACAAACGACAAGGAATGCAAAAGACTGTCCTTGCCTCTCCCACTCAATCTCTTTCCCCTCCTGTCTTTGAACATAATTCCAAACATTTCCTTACAAAAAGATGGCAGCCAACTACCAGATGGCAAGAGATAAAGCGAAAGCGATGGAAATGTTCAGAATGGAATTCCAAGCATTTTCTTACAAAGAGATGGCAGCCGACTACAAGATGGCAAGAGATAAAGCGAAAGCGAAAACAGAGAAAGCGATGGAAATGTTTAGAATGGAAAATGGAGGCGAGACTGTGAAGCGACTTTCTCACCTTCTCAGGTGCAGGCATGATTCGAACGCCAACATCGACATCAAAGTGCGCCTTGACAACATCCACATCCATGTCCCCACACTGGAAGAGCTCAAGGCGCTTCAAATTCGGCAGCTCCCCCAGCTGTGTGATGCCACTCAAACTGATCTCTGGATTCTGCTGCCAGCATATCCGCAGGGAGGACAGCTCTGGCAGGCTGGCCACAGCTCTCAACCCTGCGTCTGTCACGCCTTCGCAACCAGCCAGTGACAATCGCTTCAAGGACGAGAGGCATTGGATCCTTGCACACCAGTTGTCATTGACCCCCAGCCTGTACAGCCTCAGGCTTGTCAATGACGACAACCGTTGCAGACAGCCGATGTCTGCAGAGTTCAAATTCTCGATTGCCGTCAGCGACAGGTCCCTCAGGCCGGTGATCATGGTGAGGCACTGCAGCCCCTGTGCTGTCAAACCCTTTGCCCGGATGAGCAACAGCCTTGAGAGTGAGCTAAACTCCTTGACCACTGACAGATGATGGTCGCTCACACTCTCGCAGCCCCGCAGAACCAGGCAGGACACTCGGGAAACACCCTCCGCAGCCCCTGGGCTCGATGCCATCGTCTCCCCCAGTGCTGCAAACTCTGCTCCGTTCAGTGTTAGCTTCTGCAGGCGAGCCAGGCTGCCAAGGTTGCTGAAGCCTGAGGTGACACAGTCCCAGCAACGCGAAATGTCCAGCTCCCTCAGGTGCCGCAGGTTGAAGACGTCCTCCAGGGCGTTGGTCTGGAGCCCAGCGCTGCGCTCACACCGCAGCTCCAGTCCAAGGAGGTTGGGAAACACCCTGGGTAAGCGGAAAGCACAAAACTGTCATGAACACAGGTTACACTTGTGAACATGGCCTCACAGCCGCCTTGCAGGGGAGTCGGCAATGCCTTTCCGTGTTTGTGTGAGCAGTACAATTGTGGCAGCGCACTTGTGTCCACTACATCCATGCAGCCACTCCATGGGTGTAGAGCACAGGCCGTCAAAGGCGATTCTATCAAATGAAATCCACCAAGTGGACATCGCCACATGAGCAGGCATGGCTGGTCACCTGCCTAATCGCTTTGCTGCTTAATCATGTTACCAAGCAAAACAGTCAATACTGTACACATTTCCCTCAAAATCCGCACTGACAATAGGGCCACCATTTCCATCTCCTCCATTTCCTCCTGCCACCACAACAGTCAATGTGGAATCACCTGGAGAAGGGTGGGGAGGCGGAGCCCGGCCTTCGCCACAGGGTCAGGTGGAGCATGCCAAAGTCGATCCGCCCCCGCCATGCCCTGCAGGTGGCCCTAAGCGTACCCACACACCGCCTGGAGCCACTTTTCCTCAGAATTCGCACCACGTCGTCCAGGAGATCGGCATCCAGGTCCTCCCATGTGGCCGTTGCCTGTGCCTCGACGCTGCTGCACCTCTTGGACACTTCCCCTCCCTTGCAGGCAATTGATGCACACAGATCAGCGCGACTATGAGACGACTGTATTGGATGGGCCCCAGCACCCTGCCCAAAGTTGACACACCGTGTCACGGAATCACCAACAGCAACAAGAGCACATGTGCCCCCCCGGCACCTTCCATGCAGGTGCATGGCGACTGGTGCAGGTGCCAATATGTAGTACACACCTGCCAGACTGGAAGAAATCTATGGCATATTGTACACAACTGAACGAGGCAAAGACTGCTATGCAGAGTAGCAACAGGGTCCGGCATTGGGTAACACTTTATAAATTTTCTAGGGATAGATTTTCTCTCAACTTGCGAAAGGGTTTGGAGAGACCAAAATGGCCAAACGGCTGCGGTGCCCCGGCCAGTCCAATGCACAAGCCCCGGCTAGGTGGCGGGGGTGAAGCAGATGCAGGCAGGTCGCACCATGGCCTCGAGGTTGGCTCCCACGCTCTTGGACCGCTTGGCCCTGTCAAAGAAGCCCCGCAGCTCCGCCACGGTGCCCTTCCTCGCCCCCGGGCCGGGGCTGCCGCGCGGCGCCTCTGGCCGCGGGGGCCGCAGCGACGGGCAGCACACGCCCGAGCATGCCCATTTCCGTGCCCCCGCCTTCCAGACGCCGCTCTTGCCGCCCTCCAGCCTGTCGGGCGCCCTCCGCCCTGCGATAGCCGCCGCCGTGAGGCGTGCCCCGCATCGATGGAAAGCCCTCCATCGCGGTGTGCTCGGAGGATCGCGCGCACCGCGCCTGGGACCCTCCGGGCCGGCTCGCCTCGGCGCGTGGAACTTGGCGGGATGAACAATCTCGGAGGGCCAGGCGTCGTAGGAACGAGGAAAAGGAGGGGGGGACGCATGTTGGCTTGAATTGGTTCCGACCGGCAGGTCAAGAGCGAGATCGGCAGCCAGAAGGAGGCAACGCGGCCTCAGCGAGGCGGATCGCGATCGCTGGGGGGGTGGGAGAAGGAGGGGATGCGGCCGCCGAGCAAGCCGTGGGGGCAGCTGCGCTCCGGGAGGGGTCAGTGGCGGTCCCTGGGCGACCGCCGCGCCGGCAACCCCCCATCGAGGGCGGCGCACATCTCGGGGCTGGCTCGAGCGAGACGTGCGCCACGCTCTGGTTCAGGACTCACTGGTTTTTGCGCCGCCCTCCCTCCCCAAAGTCGGGCCGTCGGCCCCGGGCGCCGCTGTTTCGGGACGGGATGCCCTGCCCGCGGTGGCCTCCTGTTGACGGCGGCGCGGTGGAGAGCGGAGAGTCGCAGGGGGGCTCCCTCGGGCTGGAAGCCAAGAGAAGGGCGATGGTGTTGGGGCGCCCTTGGCCGGGTGTCAGGACTACTGCCCCAAGGCAAATCTGAGTGTGTGTCGGGGCTGTCGGCGAGGCTGGCCGAGGACGTTGATGTTCCACTGCCTGATACAGCGTGTCCTGATGGCGCTGACTACCTGAGATTTTTGGGCCGCCCGGAGCTATTTGGGCGTTATTGGAGCGTCAACGTGCATTTTTCTCGTGAAATTCCATTACAGCCAGCCAAAGTGTTTGTCTCATTCTCCCCGTGAAGCGCTGCGCGCGCTGTTGGGCGAGCCAGGATAATTGTTTGTGCGCCGTGGCGGAAGTCATGCGAGCAGGGATTGCAATGTTGGTGACGTTGAAAGCAGCTGTTTGGCTGGCGACTGGCAGAAAGCCCTACCCGGACCCTTCTGCCTCATCTTCCGCATGAAATTGTGTGCCTCGAGGAGAAATCTTACACAGCTGGACGCCCGTGGCATGCAAACGTTCGAGAGGCAATCTTTACCTTCTCGTCCAGCTGGTCCATGAGCATCAAAGTTCAGCACAAGCGGTTGAATAGAATGTTGCATCAGGGCAAACGGCGCCAGAGATGCAGCCGCTGATTCCTCAAGCATGGCTCCTCGCCGTGATCTGTAAGATTTCTTGACGACAATTCCTCGAGCCCAGGGGCAGCCGCTGTACAGTGGCCTCGACTTCTTAATTGCTATCAATTCGTCCGAGATTCAGAATTTCGCTCTTAATGCGACCGCATCAGGCGCATCATCCTCCTGTACCCACTCTTCCTGAATCACCTCACTCCCGCCCCTCCTGAGCATGCATCCGGCAAGCCGACTGGCGTGAGAGCAGCAGACGACGGCAGTCAGGCCACAGGTCACCGACTTCAGGACAAGCACGCGAACCCTACTGCCTCAACGCCGCTGGAGATGCCACCCTTGCTGGGTCTCTGATCGCCGCGGTGGTCCGGACCTTGGCCCGCGCACCCGTGAGTGACCCTTACTCAGGTGGCCATGACTCTGGAGGCGGAGGAGGGTCTCAGCGCGGAGGGCGGCACCCAGCATGAGGAGCGCCGCGGCCTGGCGCAATTTCTGTTCGGCTGGGCGAAGCAGCGGCGCGGGCGCTGGCCGGAGGATCTGCCCCAGGGCCGGGATTCGAAATCTGCGGACGGCGGGCAGCAGGGGCAGGACGGCGGGTTGGATGGCGCATGCGGGCGCGACAGCCCTGCTTCTGCACTGGGGAGCTGGGAAGATGCCTCGGATGGGCGCTGGGCTGAAGCTGATGAAGACTGGGGCCCCAGGCCGGGGTGCGCGGGCTGCCTGTGCGCGTGCCTGACCCCGCAGAAGACCGCCGGAAAGGGGTACAATTTGATACCCTCTGGGCCGGGGGGGGTCGGCCGGGGAGCCGGCGGAGAAGATGCGGGGGACTTGGGCGATGCCGCCGGCTGCGAGGCGCTGGACGGGATCGGCGATGGCGAGCGGGGTTATGCGTCTGAATCCGACGCCGTGGGGACCGCGGCAGCGGGGGATGAATGGGGCGTGAGCGTGGAATTGGTGGAGGCATTCGACGCCGGCCGCAGGCCTGATGGCGCCGATTCTCGCGTCTTCATCGTCAGCGGCGAGGAGGCGGATGATGCCAACGGCGGGGCGTGGGATGGGGAGGAGAAGCCGGAGGGCGGTGGCAGCGAAAATGCGCCCGGATTTGGCCGAGAGCCGGGGAGCGAGGGGGCCGATCGGACGCGGAAGATCGCCGAGGTGCTCGAGGCGTCAGGTGGGGTGGCGCGGCGGCGGGGGGGCCGGGGAAGGCGCCCCGCGGCGCTGTCAGGCTTCGGGCTGGCGGTGCTGCGCAGTCGTCGGGGCAGGCCGACGACCGGGGGGGATGCGGCCCAGGACGGCGCCAGCGAGGTTCCCGGCGGGGAGCAGGCGAGCGAATGCGCGGGCCAGGGATTTGGGAACGATTCTGAGTCTTCGGCGCCGATCGGCGGGGCGGGTGATAGGACGGAGTCGGGGGCGGTTGAGTCCAGCGGGAGGCAGTTGGCGGAATCGTCGCCTGGGGATGTTTCCGTGGCCGGCTCCGTCGCCGGGGATGGGGCCGCCGAGGGCCCGCCGAAGTGGCAGAGGCGGAAGAAGGGCGTGAAGAAGAGCCCGTCCCTGCCCATTCTGGGTAGGCTGCGCCACAGGAGGCCAAAGGCGGGCGAGGCGCACGACTCCGACGGCCTGGGGGGCTCGCCCCCGGACGGCGTCGCGCCGAGGCACCCATCAGGCAGCTCCGCCCGGCAGCAGGAGTCCGACAGGGAGGCGTCCCCGAACGCGAGGCCGGAGAAGCGATCACTGGTCAATTGCTTCGGCTGGGGCCAGCAGGAGAGCGGCAGCGAGGAGGTGGTATCAAGGGACCCATGCTTCGAGCGCCTGCTCGCCGACAACCGATCGCCGCCCGGCGTCGTGGGGCTAGTGAACCTGGGCAACTCGTGCTTTTTGAGCGCGGCGCTGCAGTGCCTGAGATGCACTCCCGGGCTGGCGGTGTCCCTCGTGCCGGAGCTGGAGGAGTTGTTGTCCGCGGCGAAGGAAGGCCGGGTGGACCAGCCCGGGCCCAGCTCAACCCCGCAGAGCCCCAGGGGATCGTCTGACGGCGGCCCGCGGTCGATGTCTGTGCCTCCTGCGCTCGGCTTTCTCAAGCAGCCGGCGCACCTGCTGTTGATCCCGCCGAACCTGTGCCGCACGTTCTCCCTCCCCGTCAGCTTGCCATGCGATCTGGGTGGACTGCTGGCAGGGGAATCCGGTTTGGTGGGCGGCTCAGCAACGACATGCACCAATGTTGTGCGCTCTTTGCCAAGGCCGAGGATGGCTCGTGGGACAAGTCTGAGCGCCTTGAATCTGGAACTGTCGGAGGCCAAGGACATGAGCGAGTGGTTCAGTGGTCCGTCCGGGGCCGCCCCTCACACAGGTGTGCACAAAGAAGCGCTCCAGCCATCCCCCTGCAGATGTGCAGAAAATCCTGATCAAAAAATCTTGGACGTGGACAACACAGTAATACCCAAGGCCAAGGAGGGCGCTTCCAGTTGTGAACAATCAGGTGTAGATCCAGTCAACTTGACTGCACAGATGCCAAGCTCCACAGATAACAAGTTGGGGACTGCAGGCACAAAGATTCCAAAATCAGGCGGTAAGCCTCCATCGATGAAGCAAACAGATGGTGATGAATCGGGGGCAAAGAAATCTAAGCTAGAAGGCAGCGTCGAAAAGTGCATTGAGATGATGGCATCGGAAGGGACTGTGATCAATAACAAACAGGTGCATGCCACACCTGCAGTATCAGGCATGACTGCTGATTCGATGCATGGTGGGGCAGGCTGCGGAGATGGCAAACCGGATGCACGGCAAGGGGACAATTTTCAATCGTTAGGGCCTGCTGGAAGACAAGAAGATGAACTGCCACTGATTGACCTTGGAATCGACGACGATGCATGTGTTGAGCCTGCGCAGCCATGTGACACCACTGGCAGCAAGGTCATGCCTGAAGTGGCGCAGGACTGTTCTTTGGGATACGGTGTTCAAGCCCATGCAGTTGATATTCATGACAGCCCCTCAAGCTCACAAGACATGGATGGCTCTGTGACGCCTGCCGACTCTGGATCGGAAGGTCAAGCCAGCGAGACAGATGCTGACAATAGTGCCATGGTAGACAAGGCACAATCAGATGAGCCTGCCACAGAGGTTGCTTCATCTTCCAAGGTTGCAAAGAAGCCCAAGGTCGCCCCAGATTTTATGGGGGCTTTTCAAAAGGCAGTGTTGTCTCTGTGTTCTGGGGAGCACATGTCATCGTTCAATCCAGAAGGGCTGTATCAGCAGTTGGAGTTGCTACCTCAAGCAGAGCACCTCTGCGATGGTGGGCAGCAAGATTGCCTTGAACTAGTGAAGGTGGGTGTCCACATGCAGATCTGGAGCAGAAAGGTGGAACCTATGCATTCGAAATCCTGGGATTGCTACCTTCTAGAAGGAAACAATGAAGTTAGATTGGAACAAGCGAAAACTCCATCCTACCCTCCCGGCAGCCCACAAGAAGCTCGTTCAGTTTTGCTGTTGCTCTTTTTCAATGTGGCTGAGGGGTTTGTGAGGTTGGTATGATAAGCAGATTGAGATAATTCGAAACGATGACCAGGTTTGTATCAGCTGCAATGTGTTCAGTCCTATTAGCATCAAAGGACATCTAATATCTGTTACCCTGAAATCCGAAAGAGCCTCTGACTTAAACTAACAGCGTGCAACTCAATTGTTGACAGGTGTTCCTCTGTGCCCTTCATGAGCACTTGAACTGTGCCAAGCCTCTGCCGGCAGCCGAGGACAAAGAGGAAGATCGCCACGAGCGCACCAAAGCAGAGAGCGTGAAGTCAGAGAGCGAGAGCAGCAAAGCCGACAGGATGTGGCACAGTTACCTGTCGCAAGACAGCAGCATTGTGACTGACATGTTTGCTGGGCAGCTGCAGTGTGTGCGGACATGCCACAAATGTGGCTCTCGTACAACTACGTACGAGACGTTTTGGGAGCTGTCACTTCCTCTGGCAAAGGAAGATCGTTTCCTCTCCTCTTGGTTCAATGGCGGAAGGGGCCCAACATGCCTGGAGGATTTATTGAGGGCTTTCACAGCTGGGGAGGAAATGAGAGGTGGGAATTCGATTGGTGGAAATGGCCAGCTTGCTGTGTCACGTTTTTATCTTCCTTATGATACATTTGCTACTGAAAGCCACAGAAATGCCCACCACAACAACCCATATGAAAACAGAGCTTATAGAACAAAGCAGTGCAAGTCAGCCATCAGACCACCAAACTTTAGTGGCACTTTTGTGGCGCAGGTCTATCTATTGTTGTGTCTCATCTGGCAGTTGTACATCGTGCGCTGGGCAAAAGGGGGACTCGTGGCCGATTCTTGTGCCTCTTGTAGTGCCCTCAAGGGCGTGTTGGTTGTTGGGCAGGGGTTGCAGTCTTGAGTGGGTCGATTGCAGGCGAAGGTGGCTCCATCTGCTCTCATGCTGAGGCATGTCATTATTGCAAATGCATACTCTCGATCGCACAGGTTCCCAAGTGCATGCCCTGCATCCATGTAGCAGTCAGAGCCATTTGCACACAATCTTCTTGTGGAAATACAATTCCATCAATGTTCTCAGGAAAGGACACATTCATTTCCTACTGTAGTATGATGGGTTTTTAAGCTATGAGCAACAGTGCTTGCTGACCAATTCCTGTTATGCTGTTCATGCCAAGGCGATTGTGCTCCCAACTGCGAGAAATGTGGACAGAAGCAGAATGCCACTCGCCGCCTGCGCGTCCACCGTTTCCCTCCGGTCCTTGTATTGAACATCAAGCGCTTCAAGTACACCAAAGAAGGCCGTGAGAAGCTGACAACAAACATCACCTTCCCTGTGCATGGGCTACAACTGCAGGTCGGGCTCTGCCTTGTTATGTGGCAACTGAATCGTGGTGGCATTTTGTAGATGGATGTTCGTGAATGACATCTACTGCAACCAATCACATCGAATGTCGTGTGCTTTGTCAGTTCTGGGACTTTTCCTGTCGATGGTTGGTTGCATCACTGGAAAGGTGACAGCATCACGGCTCTCCTGATCTCTCAGTAGCGGCAGCGTTATTCCTGAGTAGAACAGTCTCGCTAAGGGTGCATGTGCTGGACAAGGTAGCTTGCGTATGTTAGCGCCGCCTGCAATGCACAAAGCGACGCAACAGAGCATTTGCAGTTTTCTTGCTGCTCTTCTCACGAGTGACTGATGCTCGTGCTGTTACTCTCCTTCTGCCTCGTATTCCCTAGTTTTTCATCGCATCTGAGAGTTCAGTTGCGAGTTTGACTGTTGGCTGCACTCGCGCAGAGCTACACAAGCAAAGAGAGCGGCAGCCGTGGCTCCAACGTTTCCTACGACCTGTGCTCCGTCAGCAACCACTTTGGCAGCCTGTGCGGCGGCCACTACACGGCTTTCTGCAAGTTGCGCAATGGGCATGGGACTGACTCCTGGTTTTGCCTGAATGATGAACACATCTCCAGCGTCAGCGAAGAAGCCGTGGTGACGCCAAATGCGTACGTGCTGTTTTATGTGAGGCAGCCTTCTGGCGGATCAGCCGCCAAAGCTGGCGCCTCCAAGGCCTCTACATTTAAGAGTGCTTGATCTCAAATAGTGGTTGGGGTTGACTGCAAGCCTGGGCAGCTGTTTCAGACGTCGTAAATTTTGGTGGCGAGCCAGCTTGGCCGCAATACATCGACTACTCTACCGTGTTTCCCATCTCATGAATTTGACTGACACTCGACCACACTTCCGCGATTCATCCCTGTTGCGCAGGTGAATTGATTGTCATCTGGCAGAGGGCCTGCGGGCGCTTGAACCTCTTTTTATTGGGTGCCCGCCGCTGCGGCGTGCGCAAATCTTTTGTTTTTTGTTGTCCAATCGGGTGGAAGGATCCCAGGAACCCACAGGGCGGTGAAGGCCTGTGACCAAACTGATTTCGTGACTGTGCGCTCGAGGTTAACGGCAGTGGTTCGGCGACTGGCGACCTCTGTGCCCAGCGGAACATGCCTTGGCGCCTTGCAGACGGCTGCGGCGTTCTGCTTTCACCGCGGCTATTCAAGCCTGGCAATTCACAGCTCTCCTGCCTTCCAAGGCGACCACGGGCCCTTTTTCCGATATCCCAAGATGTGCCACAGTGGCTTTTGGGGTTGCTTGGAGCGGCCTGGCGTCCTCCCGTTTTGGAAATGCCTGGGAGGCCCTGGTAGATTGTTGGGGGGATTCTCCTCTCTGGTCGCATTCGTCACAAAGGGCATGCCGCTGCACATAGCAGGTGGCGAAGGGCTGTTGCCACGGCGCTTGGTGGGCTAGTTTTGTGTGGCTGGGCTGCACGCGTTTGGGCAGCTGGACCGATAGCAGGGACGCTCATGTGAGCGCTTGCGTGATGGTTGCCTGTGCCATGTTGGGGGGTGGCTGTGTGGGGTAGCACTCCTGTGGGCGGGTGGGTCGCCTGCGAGGCCCCCGTGGCTGAGGTCGATCCGGCTGCCGTATGGGGTTGGGGCACGCGTTGGACGCAGAGTGGCGGCAGCGATGTCTTCGGAAACAGCCTGAATCTAAGGTGGTGTGATGGAACAGCCGACAGCATGTATATGGACTACGGCCCAGCGGCCGCGTGCGTCCTGCATTCTTCCTTGCATCCTGCATGAACGAACCGCGTTTCTGCACAAGCTGTGGTCTGCCTCGAACTAAAGGTTGGGTAGGAGGAAAGTTGATGGCCCTACTGTACATTTTGCATTTGTTTTCAGCGTAGCCAGTTTAAAATGACATGACACTGATACCTGCGTTGCTCCTTGGCATAGCTTCGGCAGCCTGCAAACGCCTCGCATGGATGCAGCCACTTACCGGCGATTGCAGTCCCCCTAGGCACGGTGAGTCCGCAGAAGTGAATCAGGCAGCACAGTTGTCGAGCAGCATCTGCTCAGGTGGCTGTTGCCGTTTCACATCCGCCCAGAGATCGTTGCTCCCCAACTCAAAATCTTCCCGCAGTTCCATCAAGGCTTGATGTGCGCCCCCTGCATTGTCTCCACTCAGGATAATTGGGCAACGTCTCTTGAAATGTGCAAGTGCGGCCAAGCGTCAGCACTCGAAGGCTCAGGGCCTTCCCCGCATCGTCACGTTCAATCCTCAGCGCAGCCTTGGCCTTGCGGCATTGCCGTCGGCAGTTTTCAGGCGGCAATTTTATTATTACCGTGCACGGCACGGTACAGGCGCTGTGGCCGCAAAGTGTATTTCGACATTGTCAAGCTGTGGCCTCAGGGTTTGAGCCCGATTTGCAGGCATTGCTGGATGCACTGCCCAAGAGGCACGTCAACAGTTGACCTGACACGCCAAAATGCTGCTGCGGCGACTCAGTTCGGTGTTGCCGGCACCTACCTGGGACTGCATGGCCACATGCATGCCATCCACGGATTAAATGACCCCGGAGCGCATGGAGAAGAAATGGACAAAACGTGGCGAAATTGGGAAATTGGGAACATCCATGACATCTAATACGGACAACCGGGATCTGTGTGCGTGTGTACCCCACAATTATCTTGGGTTGCGTGACGCTATGTGCGCGATTGCACGTGGACATCGCCAGGAATGGGGGCACCGCGCTTATGACAGCAAACAAACAGTGTACCTGGCTTGATGATCGAGAATTCCCAGCATGTGCTAATGCTAACTGTGCGGCGAACGCCTTTCTTTGTGCAACACACGCGACAAGCCCCACAACCGCAGTGCACCGCCATCAACCCGTGGAGTTCAGGGCAGCGCACAGTCGACCTGCACGCCTTGCATGAACCAAAGTCATTTCGTACTGCACACACTGGCCAGTGTTCCATGGAACGCTTTCTCCCTGCGTATGTCGGCCTGGGTGCACTGGCGCTCTGCAGAAACGGCGTCTTCCGCCGCTTCTTTGACTCGACCCAAGTGCGAGACTTCAATTTTGAAAACACACTCTGTTCGTGCCATAGTGCAATACATTTGGAATTCAACAAAAGCACACAACACAGTGCTGGTACTGCCCTACCCCCTGGCACCCACCGTCGTGATGTTGACGGTGCCCGCATTTGTTGAAGGGCAACCAGCACAGGCCCAGTGGACCCTTCACATGAGGACGTACACTCAGGTAGCAGACCACAATATCACTGCAACAACTGTGGACAAAGTGGAAGCTTTCACAGGTCCTGAACATCTACACGCACCAAACCCGAGTGATAAAGTACACCGCACCACCTCAGTCCATGCCCATACTAGAAGCAGAAAGTAAAAAGTGGCCTGCATCTGGGTTGCAGCCCCATGCTGGCATTCTACGATCGACCGTTGGGAAACGAAGTCGAGAACCTGGCCAAGCTGGCCCCGTCGTTGCGCCTACACTGACGTGCCTTGCCGTCTTGGTGAAGCATTATTTCATGCCTCCGAGAAACAACTTCAGAAGCGCATGGTGCTCCTGACAACACTTCCTGCTGGGTGGCAACTCCGATGACACACCAGCATGGACTCGAACTTGAAAAGCGAGCAAAACATTCCACTATGCTGCCAATTTCAGAACCTAAACACGCCCAAGGCGCAACCATCTACCAGGCAAGCACCTGGCACATTTGACGTTGCAGCCCACCCAGAAATATGTCGTCCACTATTGCCTATCGGCTCCGAGGTGATGGGCAACCAAGGCGGGCATAACGGGCTCGCAAACGATCATCGAGTCCGATTGTTCATTCAAATCTTGATTTTTGTTGATTGATCATCCCATCATTTTTTCCTTCTGAAGTTGCCATCACCAACAACTCGAGCAAACCCACCGAAGGGGTCGGGGCCACAGCAATGCTCGACTCTGGCCCTGAGCATTCAGGCTCAGGCATCGCACATGCACTGCGCCCCATCAGGACACGCCGCAATTGCAGCAGCTTGACGCCAAATTTCTTCCAGGCTCTTCAGCCCAAGCCACGCGACCACCAGTGTCATCAGACCCAGCCACACCATTACAAACACCGTGTGGAGCCAAGCCCAGGCACATGCCTTGCGTTCATCGTCGTCAGCTGTGCGGGCCATCAAGAACCGTGCACGGCAGGCGCTCTCTACGCTGTACAGGAACATGGTGGGGAGCACAAACGCCCCCAGAACTTGAAAAAAGGCCACCACCAGCCAGCAGGAGTACGCCTCCCCGGGCCCCCCCTCTCCCAGGCCGGGCTCAGCGGTGCTGGACCCGGCCGGCCAAGGATACCCATAAGTCGTCAATTGGACAATCATACTGTCGATTGTCCGCCCCACCGCACTGAAAGCGGACAGCTCCTGGCCCCCATAACCGCCGGGTCCCACCCAACTCTGGCAGAACATCTCGGTTGTCCACAGCAGGCCGATCAGGCATCCCGTCCCCTGGGCAAAGAAGTGCTCCGCGAACGTCAGCCGCAGGCCCCCGATCACGCTCACCAACGGGATCAGCACGCACTTCTGCACCAGGTGCCTGGCCAGGCCCCAGGGCGTCCACGCCAGGCTGGGCGGCGTCGCGAACATCCGCACGCTGTAGACCACGCACTGCAGCCTCAAGAAAGTGGCGATAAGCACGCGGTTGGATTTGTAGAAGGCCCTGCACTTCCACGCGAGCATGATGGTGAGCGCCCTCGTGGCGATGAGCGTGCCTATCTCCGCGGTCCCCATGGCCGATGTGCTGGACGCCTGCCGCGTGCGCGCCAGGAAGCCCAGCCCCACGCAGACGCCCATCACCATCCACGCCACGTCCAGGGCCAGCTTGACGAAGTCGCAGTGCGACGCCCAGTACTCCTCCTCCAGGGCGGCGTCCCTGAACCTGAGCATGCTGTCCCATGGCAGCGGCTCGCCCCCCGCCTTGCCCCTCGCCGGCCTCTCCCCCGCCGACACCTTCTCCTGCCGACGCGCGAGCCACACTCCCCGCGTCAGCGCCCGCGCGATCCCCAAACGCGCCCCAACATTGCCCGCGACGTCTCCCGCCTCCTCACGCCACCACCTGAAAACACCGCCCAGGGCTTCGCGCAATACCCGCGACATCCTCGGTTCGCCGTTCCGCCGGCCAGCACGCGGGGACCGCTCCAAACTCAACCCACCCCACCCGCGACTCAAACAACGGGGCAGGTTCCGCGCATGGCGCCTTCCCCTACGCCCGGCGCAAGCCGTCAGTCTCTCGGCATTCCCCCAACGGCCTGTCCCCTTCAGCCTTCAGGCACGCCGTGCGGCAACACGGCTGCGGCATGATCAACCAAGTGGACGCGGACGGCAAGCAAGGTGCCCGCCGAGGCCCTTTGCGCTGCCGAAAGCCGGCCGGGTGCCCTATGTACGAGACGGCGTTCGGAACTCACGCCGACGTCCCCTGTCCCGAACATACCACACCAACGCGCTGGCTCCGCCAACCACAAACAGCCAATCGAATCGCCCCAATCACTGGTGCCGCGCACTGGGCCCATCGCCGCGCAGCGGCCGACAAGGTTCCGGATCCCCCCACCCCCCCCGCGCCGTACCTGTTTGGGTATCGGGGCGTGCCGGCACTCCCCGCCCCGTTTGCTGCGGCTGGGCATGGCCGGATCGGCTTCACCCAATCCCGGCGCCTCTGCAGAGGTGCAACGCCCCTCGGGCGCTCGCCCTGCCTCCCTCAGCCGCGCTGGCCTCTCCGGGGGCGCTGCCACCGCCGGCGGCCCCCTCCCGCCCTCGGGGAGTTCAGGCAGGGGGGTCGACACCACTGGCTGGGCCACCCACGAGGGGTCAGGCGCGGAACATTCATGCTGGTGGGCCCATTCCGGGGGATCAGGCGATCAATCAGGCAGCTTGCACACGTGATGCCGTAGTCAGTCGAAGTTACAGTCACTCTTTTCAGGCCTGCTCGCCCGGTGGACGTCAGGCGGCACCTGGCCGGACCGTCAGGCGGGATTACCAATTCTTGGCCGCGCTGTGTCGGATTTTGGCAGCCATCGGCGTCAGTGCATCGCCCGCGTGGGTCCGACTGCGCCCTGCGGGACAAGTCCGAGACCCCCCAGCCCCGATGTCTCAGTTTCAGTGATCGTTCAGCGCGTGGTTGTCTTGGCCTGCCATCACACGGCCAGGCGGCTCGAATGCTCGGAATAGCTGCACGCCAAAATCGTCGCCCGGTGCTTGACGCGTGCCCAAAGATCCAAGATTAGAAGTCGTCACGGCGAGGCAAGGCGCTACTTCGAATCCGGCAGGCTCGGTGCCCGACGAACGCACAGGTATCATACGGTTCGTACTGTTGCGAGGGCATACTGTTGAAGGACCCTGTTTGTGACCGCCATGATATGGCCAGTAGGTCACGGTCCCCTTGAGACACAACCCCCTTGAGACAAAAGAGTTTTACAAGAGGTTTTTCACCACAACATTCACAACGATTGTTCCCTCAATCAAACACAATTGGACAATCACTACTACCCTTGCTCCACTTGTCCACACCACGATATCGTCACTATAGCAAAGGCAACCCCCAAACATTCACTCCCCAATCGAAATACCCTCCGTACAACTCCCCTGGACTTCACAATCTGAAGGGATCTCTTCCCCTGAGCTGGAATTCTCCTCCACCTCTCTGTTGCCAAACCGATCAGAATCCCCCTCTTTGTCCACTTTTCCTGAAGCAGCCGCCCGCACCACTCTGTTTTCCCGCAGAGTCGTTGTCAGTTCCTGTCGTATGAAGTCTCCGGCTTCCTGAAAAGAGCGCTCACAATCTGCCCAATGAGCAGCGAGGAAGGATTGTACTTCCAAGGGGAGGTGACGGACTTCTGGCACTGAAAGGATATGTGGTGGGAGATTCCTCTGCTCCACCCAAACACGTTCAACCGCCGCTCTCTTCAGGAAAGGGATTCCTTCAATTTTCTCTGGAGTTTCTGCCACCTCACGCCTTCTTTTCCGCTGCTTCCTGCTTTCCTGGTCAGCGGTCGAGGGGCAACAGGACACTTGCCTTGGATTTACCGTTTCCTGACTTTGCTGTGCTAGGGGAACACAGCTGACTTCCAAAGTCAACTTCAGAGATAGCTCAAGGGACATGCAATTTGATTCCGGCCACCTTTTTCCAGCCAGGAGTCGGTCAGAACAACGGCTCAACAATTCTGTCTGGAACTCAAAATCACGATGCTCAATCAGGCAAGTAGCCAACCTACAGGACTTACACAACGTCTGTACAACGCTCAACAACACCACAGAACGCTTTCACTTTGTCCACTTCCCTTTCTCACAGATCCAACTTCACCCGTCACTATACTTCACTCCCAACACCAACTCTTCACTTCGATCAGCGATTCCCAAAACGCCACACCGTCCAGCCCCGCCAGTCAACACCAACGACGGATTGCGCCTTGGCTGCAGCTCCACAGCGCTCTCTCACAGCTCTGGTTGTCGTCCGTTTGGGGCGGTTCGCGGCGCTGGCTTTGGTGCTGTCCAAACTGGCCCAAAGCCAGCCCCTATATACCCCAGTTGCTAGGCATCACAACACCCCCCCTTCGGACTCTCCACATGCCACTTCCCACTGCGAATTCTCAGTGCGTTGGATCCTCTTCGCAGCGTCCTGAGTGAATTCCCAACGTTGGATTCCATCACATTATCATTCACCCACTTTGGTACCCGGTTACATCACCTTTCTCCAACCGTTTCACTAAAAAACATCACCACCCCAAGAACCAACGCACCCCCTCCTTTAAAGCCTTTGTGCATGCGTACAGGTCACTTCTCATGCATCTGATAGGGGTTACAATATCCTTTCCTTATTACCTTCACTTCCCCTTATCAAACCGTTTTCCCCCTTTTCCTATCAATCACAAACACTCCTTGCAGTTACATTTCACGACGCTCGGCCAATCTGGGCATCGTGCATGACTTTCCTTCCTCCGAACTGCTCGGAGCCTTCCTCCCGCGGCATTTGCCCGCTCGCGAGCTCCGCCTGCCCGCGCTCGATAAGGCGCAGCTCGGGCGCCGCTTCCTCCGGCCCCGGCGCGCTGCTCCATCCCTCCGGACCGGCCGGGGGAACGTGCATCCCCCTTTCGGGGGGGTTTCCTAGGGCCCTCCGGGTGGCCATGGAGGCCCACTCTGCGGCCGACCTCGGCGCCTCCACCGCCTCCGTCCGGAGCTCAACGACGAGCTCCCTGACGGCCATCGCTGAGGCCGCTTGAGCGGCCGGCGACGATCGGCCCGCGGCCTCCGGACTGCCCGCCTCCGCCCTTTCTCGTAAGGCGCCCCCGTCATCTGCCCTTAACAACGCATCGCGCTTCCCCTCGATGCGCGCAAGGGTTCTCTTGCTCCGCGCCATCTTTCCGACCAACTTTGCCGCACTCGCACTGCTCAGCGCCTCCGCCATTCCGCCAGAACGAGCTCCATGGCTCGACACCTCCGCCTCGCCGGTCAGCTGCGCATCGGCTTCGAAAGCCGTCCCTCGATGTCCGCCACGTCCGGCCACTGTCGCCCAGCACAGTCGCCGGCGGTCGCTCCTTTCCGCGCACTCGCGCCGACCAGCCGCACACTCCTGAGCAAGTCGCGCGCGCGGGAAGCATCCAAGGCGCAAGCGGCAGCTGACTGCCTGCCGGATGTTGCGCCGCATTAACCGGGTAATCTAAATCGTTTAACGGTTTAATGAACTGGCCGCAACTCGCTACGAATTGGCACCTTAACAGCTTGTTGTCTCGGTGCATTTTGTTGAGTGCATAACCAACGTGTTTTCAGCTTCATCTCTGGTCAGTCAGACGGTCAGAGACACACTCCATTCTCATGGAATTCATTGTGTCTTGCATTAGCTTTGTTCCGGGAACTTTAACATGGGCACACCAGCTTACCCTGCGCAAAACTCCGAATTGTCTTCTGTCATTGTCCAACATCCTCCTCCAGCATCACGAGAAGTCATGGCCTGACCATTGGAACTCTTTGTCAAAGACTTGCAGCTGATCCTCATGAAACACCAATCTCGGTTTTCGTCCAGCTTCCACTAAAACTGCATCTCCTTGCCCCATCTTTTTGGCTTTCCAGTACGAACCTTGCACTCGGTGTAATAATTTGTATGGACCCTTCCAAACCGGACTAAACTTATCTCCTCGTTTCTGAGCTGCTAGTTCATCATATACAAGTACGGTTTGTCCCTCGTAGAACAAAGACGGCCATACTCTTCGCTTCAGATTGCGCTTCTCCCGCCTTGTCATTGACTTCTGTTGTGCCTGCTTGATGTCTTCTTCATTAGCATCCCAAAGATCCACCGGTGACCACCCAGTTGAACTATGTTTTGAAAAATTCATTGCCTCTAAAGCCAAAGGTACATGACGCGTCCAAGAACCCCCCAGAGCGTATTTCAACTTTCGAAGTCTGTCAACAAACGTTCTTTGAAACCGCTCTACCAGTCCAACACTTTCGTGCCTGTACGGGGCTATGAACCTATGTTCAACCCCGTTTTCTGAACACCATAATCGTACTGCACGAGAAGCATAATAAGAGGTATTGTCTGTGACAAGTACAGACATTTTCCCATGCAGTCGATTCCACTTTTCCAATGCCCGAATCACCCCAGAACTACTCACAGCCTTTAATGGTAAAACATCACCCATCCGAGTAGCACTATCCACCATACAGTGCATGTACTTGTAATTGCCCAACCCGGTGACAACCGGTCCAACCACATCAGCAAATACAGTATGACCCGGAATTACAGAAGTAGGAGGCTGACCCCATTTCCGCTTAGGCATTTTGGCCCGAAATCTTGCGCACACCTTACAACCATCACAGACTTTCTGAACCAACTTCATAGAGACAAAGATCCCCCTCCTTTTGAGCTCATGATAGACTTTGTAAGGACCCCAATGAAACTCCTCATGTTCCTCTTTGATTCTGTCAATTAGGTCTGTTCCATCTACAAAACCAGTCAAGTTACCTTCCTGTCCGGTCTCCCCCTCCTGCTGTACTGCTGAAACACTCGCTTGCACAGAGCTGACCGCCACACCTTGTTCCTCCCAGCTCTCTTCATGCTCCACGGGCTCCATCCAGCCAGGCTTACGAAGCTTTGGGAATGCAGAAGA